CTAGGTGAAGTGCAGTGTACAGTGTGCAGAACTGCATGTTCAAACAGTTGTTTACTCCAACTGGAATCTCTTGACCTCTTTGCCATTTAACCAAAAATAGTAATTACTATTTTTGGATCTCAAGGGGAAAATCCCCTTTTCCCTGCCGGGGGGGGGGAGTACATCAAGTTTCCAAGAAGTAATATCAAATCAAAAATATTCTTGATTTTTTAAAAAATCAATAAAGTAAGAATTCATTGTTGGCATGTGTCTGTCTTGGGAGATAATGGAAGAGTGCCTTCGGGGGTAAAGTCAAACTGTTGGAGAGTTCTAGCGCCTGCTGTGGCTGTTGAGAATGATAACAGGAGAGACATGTTTTATTGCCAGTGGGGCAGAAGAAGGCACCTGGTTTTGCGCATGCAAATTGCTTATAGCAGTTATAAATCTATGAGAAGGCAATGACTGGGAACAAAATTTGATCAATGTCATTCTTCTGTAGAAATTGGAAATGCACTTTGTGCATGATAACTGCTTTATGGATTTGGTCCTAAGGCCTAATTCATACACTGAATGAGTGGCAGAGCAGGTGCTTTAAAACATCATTGTGGATACTGCTCCACATGCACAGCGAACCGTTTATGTAAATAAAACCCTATGTAGTTCTAGGAGGTTTTCATCACACATTTGCAGCCCCTCGTTTTTGTGGTTCCCGATTATGTGTTTAAAAGTTGGTGGAACAACACAGCAACTTCTACATAGCTGCATTTTCAGTGTGTGAATCAGGTCTGAGCCTACTTACATCTTCTATCCCACAAATGTTGATGATAATTCAGCAAAATTATTGTTATTATTAGTAGTACTAGTTGTATTTTAATTTATTACCCACCCTTCACCCTAGGGTCCCAGGGTGGATTACAGCAACTAAAATATGTCTAAAACAGTTAAAAACAGCTTAAAATCACATACAAAAAAAATAAATCTCGGCAGTTTTCCTGTGTAGCTCTGCTATGATACCACAGTGACCTCTAGTGTTGCCAACAGATATAGGAAAACCAGAAAAATACAGAACTCACAAAAACATGGCAGTGTGTAGATACAGGAGTGAAATATAACAAAAGAAAAAAGCAATCAAGGCATTTGGAAGGGAAAAAGAGCTACATCTAGTGACTTGAAACAATATTCAGAGTAATATCCAGACCTATCAACTGTCCTACTTTTTTTGTAGGAAATATCCAGTCATGTTGGTTTGTAGTTATAGCTTAGACTTGAGCTCATAAAACCAGCTACGAACCTTAATGAACTTCAAATAATGTCATTTGCAAGCTAGCTATAAGCAGATTCCCTAGATTATTATTTTACTCAGTAAGAACAAAACAGAATAATTCTTCAGTTTACTCTTCAACCTTAAAAAATACAAGGGTAACTTTTACTTTTAGCAGCCATTTAGGAATGTAATCCAAATGAAGGCAAGTATTAAATTATCTACAGAAGTTTCCTCATCTTTATTTCTATTAGGTAGAGGACCATACTAGGTCCTAAGTAATACTTCTGTATGAGAGACAATTGCTTACGTAATGGAACTTTTCTTTCTTGCACACTGCTCTTTTTTATGTTTACCATCTGAATTTCCTGGAAGATAGCTTGCAGATAGCCTAGACGGTTGTTCCACATCTGGAGCTGTATGTAGTTTTACCACCTCTTATTTCGAGGGTGAAAATATTGCTTTATCCTGCCTGTTTCTATTGGCATTCCTATAGTGAGTATAAGTTGTGCTCTGGCCTTGCATTCATTGCAATGGGGCAGGGGGATTTGGAGGTGGGCCTTCATAGCACATCTCCACAATTCCATACGCTAAATCATATGAACACTTATATTTATGTGTTTCTGATTGCCATTTCTGTTTGCATAACTCTCTACCACAGTCATAGTTTAGTTCAGTCTCCAGCTTTCAAGCAATATTTATTATAATTATACCTATCAAGTATATCCTTGGGGCAGTAGGGGGGGGGAGAATAAAACAAAGTATATAACCTGAGCTATATGTAGGCAGCAGTGTTGGAAAAAAAGAAGAAACAGAGTATAAATACAAAAAATACAATAGGCTAATGACCCGCAGGATCCCTTCCAACTGTACAATTCTATTATTGTTCCATCAAGACAAACATTTTGGTTTCCCTCACTGAGCATTCCTCCCCCCATGTCCAATTCTGGGGGTTCTCCTGGCAGCCTCAGAGCCAATATGGGGGGGGGGAGAGGAGGAAAGCTTCATTGAACAAATGGATATCCTTGTGTAGAGTTTCTGCTGATGGGATTCTTTAGTTGAATCTTGCCCAATAGTTAAGGGGAATGACATGCTATAAGAAGCAAAGGGATTTAAAAATGCACACTTTTATGGTTAAGCAGGGAGATTAGATTAAGACAGTTCTGGAAACAGGTACTCTCTCAGCAACTAAGAACTTTTTAATACAATGTTTCTAATATTAAATTGTGGTAATATGATTTTAGTACTCCCTCCATTTGTCCAGCATGTGCTTGATTTGTTGCATATGATCTCCTGCCTGATCTCTGCTTGCACTGCGGATAAGATGTACTAAGTTGCATGTGCAATTTTTATTATTATCTATAAACATCATAACAATGGTGCCTCATAATTTCATTTTATATTCTCATACAGAACATTTCCTTTTTAGATTGGAGCTAGGCATAGGGAACAGTACGTTGTAAAGTTTCTCAGTAATTCTAGAACACACTTCCATTTACAATGTTTTGTGCATTGTCATGCTGCAGTAAGATGCAAGGACCATGACAAGTGGAACAGACAGGACCTCAACTTGATTAGCAGCTATAGCAACAGGCAGATAATCTTTGCCACATGTATCTTGATGGCCCCTAAGGATTTGCTTCTACAAGAACTTTATGTTCTTACTGCAGAAACCAGTAAAATCTGGTCCAGTTCTAGAGATTTTTCCACTTGCAATACAAACATATTTCTGTCTAACTCCCTGCCCATTCAGGAAGCAAAGAGCAATGGCAGAGCTAAATCTATGAACCCCAGCACCATTCCACATCTCTTCCAACATGGAACCTCCATTTGTGTCTTACTGATGTATAGTGACTGGCTACAACGCTAGACACACGTACTAGAGAGTGTCCTATTTAATTTAGACATACCTCTGAGTAATTTTTTTTTAGGATTGCACCATGCAAACATTACTAGTGTTCAGCTGAGAGTAATGTATATATTTCACATGAAAATGTGAACGAAGATTACTCTGCAACTTTTAATTTCTAAATGCCCTTTTTTTGCAAGTAAACAAGAGAATCATTCAAAAATAAGCAGCCTGCATCTTTGATGTTTTTGTTTAGATGTGAAATCTGAAGCTATAGAGCATCTTTGATCCGCTAACAGTTGACTGATTTTCCAACCCAAGTTCATTAGTGTGCTTTGGGGCTATCAGCTGCAAGAAATTCACCAGTGTATGTCACACTCTTGTGAAATACTCATTTCATTGATAATACTTATTAGATATTTTGTTAATTTTCTTAATGTTTGTTTTTGTCTTGTCCAAATGAGTGTTGTAATACGGAATTTGAAATGTAATGTTTGCTAATAATGTTTGTGGAGTATTAAAGTCTTGTTTTGGGGGGAAATGCATGTATAACAAAAATAATCTTGCTTGCTGTAACTCTTAACAAATGGCATGCAAAAAAGCACTTGACAATATTATTCCTAGATTATTAGAAATGCACTGACTTATGCTATGCTACTTTAAGACATAGTTACAACTGTCTAAAGGTTTAAAACTGAAGCTTTGCTATGACATTTGATATTTGAAATTTTATATTTATTTTACTTTATTTCATTTTTTAGAATATAGGACGTAAACAATATGTTTTTTATTCAGTAGATAACACAAAATGATTATAATCCCTAGGATATTGAAAATGAATGCAGCTATCTCAAAATTTATCTAAAAATAAAATACAGAAAATAGGAATTGTACATGCACCCATTGTCCCTTATGTGAGGGGAATATATATATATATATATATATATATATATATATATATATATATGCTTTCGTAGATTTTCACGGGTACAGGAATGCAGGTTTTGGTGTCCTCGGGTGTCTTCCCGTGTAAAAGTTGGGGTGTCTAGGCGACGTTTCGACGAGGTCTCACTCGTCATCTTCAGGCTGGTGCTTTCGGCTTCTTGTTACTGGAACAGAGCAGGATCTCAGTGTTTGAGTTCCTATAAATACTGTTGAGGGGGTGTGGTGTATAGCCTCCAATGTTCTGGGCAGAGAGGAAGTTCCCAGGCTAGTGTGAAGAAGAAAAGGCACACTAGCCTGGGAACTTCCTCTCTGCCCAGAACATTGGAGGCTATACACCACACCCCCTCAACAGTATTTATAGGAACTCAAACACTGAGATCCTGCTCTGTTCCAGTAACAAGAAGCCGAAAGCACCAGCCTGAAGATGACGAGTGAGACCTCGTCGAAACGTCGCCTAGACACCCCAACTTTTACACGGGAAGACACCCGAGGACACCAAAACCTGCATATATATATATATATACACACAGTTCCCTAGCAGAAACATTTTAGAGTGAAGGGCTAGCCACGCCAAAACTTATGAGAGCCACTGCAAAGGGGAGGAAGGCCACAATTCTTCCTCCTCCTGAGATCCCTCCACAAGACTGGAGTATGCACCTGAGGATCTTTGCCTTATTACCCCAATCTAGCAATATGATCCAGGTGGGAGGGTTCATGCACTGGCATGAAATTATCTCTCTTTCCAGAACAGCTTTCCCATTCATTTCAGTGAAGGGAGCTGTTTTACACAGCCATTCCTTTGAAATGAAAGGTGACTCCCCCTCCACACATATAATAGATTCATATAACCATCTGAGTGCACCCTGTTCAGTAGATTGGGACATATATGTACATCTATTCAGCACTGTGCAACAATTACAGTGAGTTGGAATGAAGTATGAAGTAAAATAAATTTTCTGCTTTCAGTCAAAAACTGAGCTTTAAGGAACGGGTACGGATGGCTAGCCCACGTGGACAGAGTATCAAGAACAGGCAAGCTTCAGTTGGTGACAGGAGATCACCAAGTACTGATATTACGGCAGAGGGCAGCCCAACAAAAGTCCAAAAGAGCTGGAGCTTCAATGACCGAACACGCTTCCGACCTTCCCTACGTTTGAAGAGTTCACAGCCCAAGCCAGTGCCAGATAGTAAGGTTTATTTGTTTTTTTTAAATATCAAGTGTTTTACTCATTGTAGTTATCATCCAGCTTACAACCACAAATTTGACTTTCATCATAGTAAAGCCACAGACATTTAGGAGGTTCTGTGCTTTGATCCTAATCTTGCTGAAGCCATGCTTCTCCTACTGCTGCTTAATTTAAAGGTACTTTATGTGTCTGTACCTTCACATATACAGGGCAGTCCAGAGATTATATGGGCTGTATCTGGTCATTAACAGGCAGGCTACAAACCCTATCGTACCTGTGCACAACAGAGGGTTGAAATCCTTCTGGTGACAGTTTCTCATACTACATGGGATACAGTACACTCTGGCACTCATCACAGTGTCTCATTGCGACAGAGGCGGTTTAGTCATGCTGGCCACATGACTCAAAAAAAGCTGTGGACAAACGCCAGCTCCCTTGGCCTGAAAAGCGAGATGAGCGCCACACTCCATAGTCACCTTTGGTTGGACTTAACTGTCCAGGAGTCCTTTACCTTTTACAAACTGGAAAGGGTGCCACTAAGTCCAAGAGGACACCAAAGTAGTTTACAAGCAGAGTCAAGGAAGTTTCTTTCAGAAAATGGAAGTCTTACCCAAATGAGACACATACATACACACACACACAGAGAGAGAGAACTTTGACAAAAGAAATGAAAGTAGACAATAAGGAATGTGAAAAAAATGTAAAGAGCATATTGCTTTAAAAAAGACCCTTTCTGCCTTAATAATAATAATAATAATCAGAACCAGGAAGCCAACTACAGAGCTGGTTATGGTATTTCTTAAAAGAGATTGCAGAAAAGCTGGATGAATTCTGTGTGGCTTTTTGCACTACAGAAGATTCCTAATATTTTAGGAGGGAGATCTGACAAACTGAGCCAAATAGAACTTTCTAGGCCTTTTGGATGAATTCAAAATAAACAAACCTCCTTGGTCTGCTTGACAAACTCATCTGGAAATCGAAAGGCGTCACCGCCCCCCCAAAAAAGTTTTGCCTACTTTTAGTTCTTTTTTATTACTGTGAACAGTACCTACATTTAAAGCTACTTTTGTTACATGCTGGTAGTAGGCCATGTTCGAAAACTATTCAGTTTGAATTTGTGGTTTTTTCCCTAAAGGAATTTATTTAATCTGTATCCAAACCATTTAATCTTTCCAGCCTGTTATATGAGATAATTAGTATTCAATATATCTTGAAGGGATGGTGCAACTTACTAACCCATCAAAGTGTTCCATCATGAGAAAGTGCACAGACATTTCACGTTATTAAAAAGAACTCTCCAAGGATGCATTTGATTTCCATTCCTATTTTTGTAAGCTCACATGAATTCTGCCCTTTCATTGCCTTCAGTGTGATTTTGCAGTCGTCAGGGTTAGAAACTTATTTTTAAAAATGGAAACACTGTTATGGCATCCTCAATTTACTTCTTCCCTTGTCCTTTTATATTATTTATGTCTTTTTAATGACTATTTTCATTTGTACAAAAACACTTCTCAGTTGAACTGTCTTGCTCTCTGGTCAGTCTCTATTCAGTTCCTTAGTGGTTTACAATGAATAATTTTCATATATAATACACTTTCCTGATAGATCTGCATGGTTTACAAGACATATATTAAGAATGACAGGTGTTTGTTTAATGAGTGTTGCCTTCCTAGGCTTGCCAGCTTTTTTGCAGCTGATGCATCATTGCATCTCCATAACACATAGTGTTTCAGCAGCTGAAGTTTTTGCTTTTCTGAGTTAAAAAGCAAAAAAGGGGTAACAATCCTGTGGCCATCCCAATCACCATCCCTTCCCCATCATAGTCAGATCTGTGAAGTACACAGGACATTGGAATAAGTATGATTGGTACCCTCCGGCCAACCAACCGGAGTGCCTGAGTTCAAAGCATTGTATGAGAAACTACCCAGAGTTAAGGAAGAAAAAGCAAAGAAAGCCACAGTATAGTGACTATAGTCTACTGTTTCATGATGGAATCATTAAGTCACAGTTAAAATGTGATTATCATTTTAACCATAGAACTATTGCTCTTACGGCTTTTAAGACATCTTGCAATTCTGCATAATTATTCGAAACAGAAGGATTTTGTTTTAATTAAATAAAAAAGCTTTATGTGCCAAAGGCTATCAGAAATTAGTATTTAATTCAGATAAATATTAGTAAGAAATCCAATGTGGGGTGCTGAGTATGGGGCCAAAATTTGGCAGCCCTAGTTTACCCTGCTGCAGTTGAGTTATATTCAGAAACATAGTGCCTCTGACCTAAGAGGTAGTATTTAGCCATCATGACTAGCGGTCATTGATAGACAGCTTTAAAAGACAAATTCATGAAGGATAAGGCTAACAGTGTGATGGAGTGGAAGTGCCAGTACCCAATAATCTGTCAATAGGCAAATGTATCTGCCTGTAATAATTCTGAGCCCCCTAATTAATAAAATTGCCTCTGAAAACGGGACTCCCCAAAAACCTATTTTAGAATATACTTCTGTTTTTGGCCTCAAAGAGTTAAGCTGCTGAAATGGGACTTGACTTGGGTCATTCTTTCAGTACATCAGCAGAACTTAGAAGAGAGGACTTTAGACCTTGATCAATGCTTGATTACTGCCAGCATTTGACAGTTCTCACAAAACAAGCAAATAGGATGATAAAAGTGTTTCTATTTTGTTGAGTAGGCAGATATACCTTGGCTGTTGCTCACTCTAAGAACAGCACTCTAAGGAAAAAATGAAAGCTGCATTTATAGTTCCACTCTTGCCAAGGTAAACCACAAAAAATATTGCTGAAACTTATACTATCTTACAGAACTATCCAAAGCCGTAATCAGCCCTGGTGAGAGGTCAGATGGAGTGGAGTTGTCCCTCTGCCCAGCCCTGTCCAGCTACCCCATCCTTTGCCATTTGATGGGCTCTGCTGTTTTCTCCTGCTCTGGAAGTTAGGACCCAAACCAATGGATTCAAATTACAAAAAAGGAGATTCCAACTAAACATCAGGAATAATTTTCTGACAATAAAAGCTGTTTGACAGTGGGGCAGTCTTCCTCAGGAGGTGGTGTACTCTCCTTCACTGGAGGTTTTTCAGCAGAAGTTGGATGGTCATCTGTAATGGATGCTTTCATTGAAATTCCTGCATTGCAGGAGGTTGGACAATACGACCTTCAGGGTCCCTTCCAACTCTACAATTCTATGATTCAAGTAGACATATGCTATCCAAATGTCCTGGCAGATAATTCAAATAAAACTGACATTTATAAGCAATGCATTCAGATGTAGCAAGGGCAGTAAGGCCATTGGACCACTGCTATTGTCCTTCCAGTTTTGAAGGATAAATCTGGCAAACATAAAGGCTCACAAAATACACTTTTTTTGTCCTGCTGCTAGTCTTTATATCATAGGAGTGGAATTTAAATGGACATCTGCAACTATCAGCGATCTCTCCAATTCCACTTCCAGCATCCATCTGTATTAGTGACTTCCTATAAAGACACTGGGAAGCCCAATATACCCAGAACATCATTTTTTGCTGAATAAATTAAGTCTAATGAAATGTTCCATATTGATTCTAACAGAATTTTCAGTTATTTGAGCTGTATAGCACACTCTATTCTATTCTTTTCTTTTCTAAGCTTCTACATGCCTACTTTACAGAATTCCAGTAAGCTTTTGTAAACAGTTACAGGTTAAATTTTCTGTAAAGACCAATTATTCCCTCCAGCAAGATTATTTTGAGTTTGACAGCTTTTAGAATATTTGACCTTTTCATACTTTAATTGACCCTTGCATTCTCTATAGGTATGCATATAATTTATGTGGAATTTCTCTTGCAGCTGAAGCCAGTATCGCTACAGATGATGTATATGATGAAAGAGGATGCCAGTGTGATGTCTCAGTAGAAGATCTCACCCCTGCACTTAAAACAGTAATCAGAGCTATCAGGTAGGTGGCAAATACATTAACAAGAGAAAACACATCAAACTTCACAGATGTACCTAGAAGAAATACCATCACAACAAATTGTAGGGACACTGTACTTGGATTGAATCGAAGTCCAGCTGCACTTCAGATTACGCAGTCATCTGTTAACTGAGATGGAAGAGGGAAGTTTAGGCCACTTCTTTCTACCTTGCCTATTGGGTTTTCAGGGCAGCAGGTGCCTGTAACATAACTATACTTAATGTACAGTGTATATGAAAAAGAACTTGCACCATACTCAGATTAAATGCTGAAAATTAGAACACATGTAGTCCAAGACAAGTAGATTACTAGAATAGTGCTTTGAAAAACTGAGTGGTTTGTTTGCTTTGCCTCTTGCAAATAAAATAGTTCTGGCAACAGTATGTCAGTGCTCTCTAGCTGATGTACCATTCTAATTCAACTAAGAATCTTTAATTAGTAACTTATTTATTGTGTCATAAGATTATGTGGACTAGAGTCTGCTTTGTCACAGGCATCTGTAGCAGATTTTTTTCCACTCTCAGTTCTATGATCCAAATAGTATGTTATGAAGTGTACAGAGGAAATTTCGGTTTATCTAAATCTAACATTACTTGGAAGTATAGGCTCTGCTGAACATACCCATCAACATGTTGTATTGAAAATGATGCAAATTGCCACCTGTAAGGAATAGTTCAGTTGACCAATACTTATGTCAGAAAAGTGCTTTTTAATCTTTTGAACATCTCACTGATGACAAATTATGTAGCGTTTTCATAAATTGTATCGGAAAATATGTCAGAATAAAATAGCATTAGAAATAAGCCAGCAGCAAAGTACTTCTTCCCTGATTACTAAGAGAAAAACATATATTTTATAATTGATTTCTATTTCTTGCCTCATTTCATCATAATCAAAACTATCTAGCCTCCCAAAGTTGCTGAAGCTTGACAACTTTTATTGGAATGATGAATTGGAGTTATGAAAGAAAGGTTCTAGTGGAGGAGGTAGACCCTCAGCGAATGTGTTCTAGGATTGGGTTTCAAAACAACCAAAGCAATTAAATGAATAAGCTGCTGGTCTAACTCAAATAAACAGTAACAATTTAATAATTAATGAGAAGCAAAATGAATACACAAATAAAGTTTCCTTTTGCAAAATGAAAATTTAAGCACCTTTTATAACACACAAGAAAATGTTTGGAACAATTTCCATGTGATAGTGTAATATAGTAAATGTACAGTACAGCTGGGGCCATAACTGTGACAGAGGTACACTGAAAACACAGGTCTGTTGCTGTCACATAGCTTGGGTGTTAAGGATAAAACTTCATTTGCAGAATGGGATGGAGTTATTTCTTGGCATTAGTGAAAACAATCTCTCTTTTACATTCACTTAAACCTGCACAAGTTTCTCTCAGTCTCTGGAAAGTGCTTATCCTTCAGTATAGGCATGATATTGGGACAGTTGATATCAAGAGTGGAACATCTTCTCCAACCCAAGAACCACATTTTCTTGGGGCCAACCTTCCGGCAACTGCATGCCTGTAGTTTGTGGGCTCAAGGTCAAAACAGGGTGAGACAGTGGCTATAACTCTTACAGTAGTTTGCAATAGTTGACCACATTACAGTCGTGCAGAAGCCAGGGGTTTCTGCACACACCCACATACCATGCAGCATCCTCTATATTGGCAAGCAAGAGGAATTGTCCCAGTTCCAGGCAAAGGCAGTTAAAGGTGTGAAGTAGGCCAGTGAGGAGTGTAGCAAGAAAGGGGTTATGGCATTGGGAAGGGGGGGAGTTACGAGAGCCAGATAGAAGGCCATGTTTGACCCACTGCCTGGAGGTTCCCCACTTCTTGTTTATATTTTCATTTATCATGGTACAGTAGAAATAATGGGTTGTAGTGCTAAGGGAAGTGTTACATCAGCACAAGAATTTTTCTCCATCTCCTTCCTCCTTGTGTCCCCTAAATGTGTTCTGAGGTTTTCCCCAGCACTTCAGAATATATTTAGAAATAGTGCAGGTCATGTACAAAGCAAAGGGGGGTGAGTTCCATTGCACTAGCATTAATCCTTGTGCTAGCACAAATATTTAGTTGAATACTACCCCATGGAATGGAGCCTCTTAAGCACATTTAATTTCCTAAATAGTTCTCAGTAAAAATATTATCATCCTTAGGCTATCTAGAATTGCTGATTATTTTGTGTGAGCTTATTGATTGGCCACTTTCATGGCCTTGTTTTGATGTACAGTGGTGCCTCGCAAGACGAAAATAATCTGTTCCGCGAGTCTCTTCGTCTAGCGTTTCTTTCGTCTTGCGAAGCAACCCTATTAGCAGCTTAGCGGATTAGCGCTATTAGCGGTTTAGCGGCTATTAAAGGCTTAGCGGCTAAAAGGCTAAAAAGGGGGGGGGGCGAAAAAAATCGCAAGACTCGCAAGACATTTCCGTCTTGCGAAGCAAGCCCATAGGGAAAATCGTCTTGCAAAGCGCATCGAAAAACGGAAAACCCTTTTGTCTAGCGGGTTTTTCATCTTGCGAGGCATTCGTCTTGCGGGGCACCACTGTATAAAGTGCATATGGATAATTAATCTAGATCGTATTTCTTGTATAGAATCATGAAATTTCATGTTGCCAAAAGGAAATTTAAAGAAACTTTGCGTCCCTATGATGTTAAAGATGTCATAGAACAGTATTCAGCAGGCCACCTGGATATGTTGTGCAGAATTAAAAGTCTTCAATCAAGGTAAGGGATGGAAATCCTTTTACAAATAAGTTCCTTCATATAAACTGCCTTTTATCTTTAGCTTGGCAAAAACCAAGCTTTGTGTTTTAACACTACTGTGTCTCCTTGATACTAATTTTCCTTGAGCTTTTGCAGATTGTGCCCACAAGTTCATTTGTGTCTGAAATAAAAAATCAGATTTAAAAACAACAATGGACAACTGTCTACAGATATTTGTGCATTAACCACTAAACAGATAGTTGTCACTCTTGACAACTCTGATCAGTGTTCTGACGGGTAGCAAACTGATTCTAGGCAACTACAGTGGTACCTCAGGTTAAGTACTTAATTCGTTCTGGAGGTCTGTTCTTAACCTGAAACTGTTCTTAACCTCAAGCACCACTTTAGCTAATGAGGCCTCCTGCTGCCGCCAGAGCACGATTTCTGTTCTCATCCTGAAGCCAAGTTCTTAACCCGAGGTACTATTTCTGGGTTAGCAGAGTCTGTAACCTGAAGGGTCTGTAACCTGAGGTACCACTGTACTTTCCTTTTCCCCCACAGTTAATTGGCCAACTCAAAAGATAAAATTGACAGTCATTTGTTTGAAAGGATAATTCACTGTGTGCAGTATAAACAAAAAAAGCCCTTCATCATGGCCAGAATCTATACCCATTTTTTTAGAATGCACCTGCATTCCAAAATGAAAATTCTGTTTGTAGGGTCCAAATGAAAGTACTCTTACCTGTTGAAGTGATCTTGCACACTTGTATATTTAATTACCTTGCAGGGTTGACCAGATTCTTGGAAGGGGACAAATTGCGTCTGATAAAAGAAGTCGAGAGAAAAATACTGCAGAGAATGAGGCAGCTGATGACCTTAGCATGCTAGGGCGCGTAGTCAAGGTGGAAAAACAGGTAACATGACTCTCAAACATCACGAGTCCCATTTTATTTTATTGATCACTATTTCAGTAATTTAAAACATGTTTTTAATATATGGAAGGTAAAATAATTTCCTCTGGTATCTACACCAAAGTCATTTTGTGTGCAAAATTATTCTTGTTAAGGTGTCAGTGGCATTTTGTACTTTTATTCTTCTTTGTAGTGTCAGTAGGACTGAGCTAGTTTTAAGTTAATAGAACTGGCCTAGAAAACTGTAGTCATAGCATAAGTCCTGTACAGAAATATCACCACAAGTTCTATACATTTGGGTAAAATTTCACTGGAGCTACTTGAATGGATTCATTTTTCACCAAAATTTAACTAGCCTTTCTTTGCAGATATTGTGGTTGGCCATCTGTCATGGATGTTTTTAGCTGAGCTTCCTGTATTGCAGGGGGTTGGAGTAGATGACCCTTGGGTTCCTTCCAACTCTAATATTCTATGATTATTTATATATGTATGCTTGGTTTATAATATTTGGTACTCATAGACAATTTTCTTCTTCCACCGCCAGGTTCAATCCATAGAGTCAAAATTAGACTCACTACTAGATATCTACCAACAGGTCTTGAAGAAAGGATCTGTATCTGCACTGACTTTGGCTTCATTTCAAATGCCAACTTTTGAATGTGATCAAACTTCTGATTATCAAAGCCCTGTAGATAGTAAAGATTTGTCTAGCTCTGCCCAGACCAGTGGATGTGTATCCAGATCAGCCAGTGTCAACATGCCATGTGGCCTACAGCTTATACTGACACCAAATGAATTTAACCCTCAAGCTTACTATGCGTTTAGTCCAACTATGCATAGTCAAGCCACACAGGTGCCAAATGATGGACCTGCAACTCTATCAGCTAATAATGCACTAAACCAAATACACCAGACATCTAAGCCAACAACACCTACAACGTTACAGATACCACCTTTTTCATCAGTAAAGCATAACAATAGGCTGGAGCCTATACATGTTATTCCCGTGAGCACACAGGAAAATACTTCTGATGTCACCGCTTGCCTTGTTGCTTCAAATGATAATGGACAAATTGCACAGTCCAGTGTGACAAAGGATCTCTCATGGAGAAAAAGCCTTGATACAGAAGGGGAACCCTTGGTCTCAGTGAAACCAATAGTACAAATGGATATAGGGAAATCGCTATCTGTTCAAAACCTTATACAGTCAACAGCCGAAGAACTGAATGTACAGATTTCTGGTAGTGACACCAGTAGCTCAAGAGGTAGTCAAGAATTATACAGCAGATGGAGGGAATCAAAATTATTTATAACTGATGAAGAATTGGAATCAGAGAGAGAAAATGAGACTTTCGAAGGCATTTCCCACCCATTAGTGGAAACGACTCTCTCTACAGACTCTCTAAGGACTGGAATGTCAAGATCATCTCAAAGCATTTGCAAGCCAGGGGATGGTGCAGATGCTCTCAGCCTGCCTCATGTCAAACTTAAATAGCATTTTGTGGATTTTGTTCACATGCTGAGTAATCCTTTCAGTCATACATATCAGAGCATGGACTATTTTGAAAGCCCTTTTAATGATTTTTTAAAAATTAAATTAATCAGAAAGAAAGGCAGTTGTATGAGTCCATATCTTTTAGCTGCATGAAAATGCATGTTTAGGAGATGGAAAAATTCAATTTATATCTGCAGTACATTGGTTCTTTCATTTAGTACAGTAGGTATAAATGAGTAATCTACAAAACTAATGCTAGAGGTTTATTAAACAACAACAGATCTGAACATGTAGAAACCATGTTTCTAAAGTACGCAAGTAAAATTCTCAAGATAATAAAGCACTTTGCTTTTGGTTAAAATAAATATTTGCCCTGAATTAGACCAGTTATGTTTGCAACAAAAACTACTATATGCAGCTGCTAATGAAGGAACACCCATAATAAAAGATTAGAAATGGCTGCTAGTTGCAAGCTTCCTTAGTGTCTGTATCTCTTTGGAGATATAATACTGAGACAAAGTATTTTGCACAGCACTTTTTTTAGGTTAGGACTGACCTTTTTTCCCCTTTTGCTATGAAATGTACACAATTCCAAGTTATCAGGGATGACCTTCAATGTGAATTTTTCTCTTGTCTCAAACTTTCTGAACATATTGATGGTCCTCTTGTGAATCTGAAGAATTTTGGCAGAAATCTCTACAAGGGAGAAACAGAAGCTTGCTTCAGATGTAATATCTTCTCCTTTTATGATGTAGTCAGTCCTCAAGTTCTGAGGCTGAATGATAGCACAAGCAAAGATTGGGGAGAATAGAAAAAGTACTGTATGAGGTTGGAGAGATAAAAAAAAACAGTGGAAAGTAGAACAGGGAGAAAATAGAATAATTATTTTTCAAGAGTTAAGAAAAAAAATAAAAAGAAAAGAGTATGCACAAGCACAGGTAAAAAAAAATGTAGATAGAAAGAAGGAATGAAGGGTTCATCATTTGTCCTCCCCACAAAGACTAAGGAAATACACCTCATCTGACAGTGAAGACTACCTGTCAGATCCTCCAAGTATTTGTTCTTGGAAGGTGTGCTGGGAAGAAAGAAAAGTTTACAGAACTGCCTGTAGAGGTTTTAACAATGGGAACCTAGAAACGGGTGTGACTTTCGAATAGATGTTTCAGAACAGTCTTTGTCCCCAAACTCTATCCACAGAGGTTTGTGATTCACAGCTTCCAGGAAATCGAAGTTTATTCCCCCCCCCAAAAAAATGTATTTTACTTCCCAAATTTTATTAAGACTAATATAAAGCAACAATACTAGTAAATATTTACAATGTCATACCTAAGCTTTGCCACAGAAATCTTTTAAAAGCCTATAAGCACATTCCAATCTCACTTCCCATTGGTAACAAATGTTTCTATTTATTATATCCCCTCCCCCCGAAATATACATTCTGTGTATGCTCATGAGCAGGATGTCCTGTGCTCAACCTTCTCTAGTGATTCCAAAGGCATTCCACAAACTGAAGGATGCCACTACTAGCTCACTCAGAGCATGTGATCGTTTACAAGCCAGCCCTGCTGAGAATGATGTTATACATAAAAATGTCACAAGAGTCTTAATCATGGTTAAATGCTGCAGATTGTACTGCAAACAATTTGAACTGTTTACTCTACATCTGTTGTAGTTTCTGCCTCCATTGTTCTTTTATACAAAATAAATTTCTTGATGTTTCCTCTTAATCTTATGTGAAAGTACAAACAAATTGTGAATTGTTTATACTGTGTCATTCATATAATACCTGCAGATGATTAATGCTGTTCTGCAGCTTTTGCTTGGTCAAAGCTCATGGTAAATACAAAGAGAAGGCACACTGAAGCACATGGCTGTCTTTCACTTCCCACATAATTTTCTACAGTTTACCATTACAATTTGCTGTATAATTTTTGCTGAAAGTTGAGGCTGTAAAATGTTTATGTGAACAAAAACTGATTTTCCAGAATATTTACAAGGAGGCACCTAAGCAAAATATATTTACAAGGAGGCAACTGGAGGTGCCTAAACAAAATTTGTCCTCCCAACAGATCATTTCTGCCCATCTACTTGTCAAAAGCAGAGCAAAAAGAGGTGTGTTGATGAGTTGCATCTGTTGCAAACTATGGGGGGAAGGGAGAGGAGCATATAGTTTATGCCTGTCACTCCTTCCTCTGTTATATAAAATATACTTCTGTCAAAACAACTTCCGAGACAAGAGTTTAAATACTTCCTTATTTAGATATCTGCAGTTTATCCAGCCAAAGCTATTTTTCCCTATTAAAAAAAATAGAATACAGACAATAGACCTTTATTTTATGTATTGAATGTTTAATAGTGCCTTTTTGTGCTTTATGTGAAATCTAGCTTAACAAAGGAGCTAGAGCAAAGGCACAAGGCAAGCAACACGTGTACAAATAATTAGACCTGCTTCCCATTTTAAATAGATGAACATGCAATATCATTCCATCACGTCTATGGAGACAACAGCATCTAAATGGAGCTCCATTTCAGCTATGGGTTAGAGAGGGTTGCTGCTACAAGGCAACTATGGTTGTCTTGGCTTAGATGATTCACCTACCAGAAATTGCTATTTTTGCCTTAATCAGAGGACATGCTTGAGTCCTCCTTGTTTTAATTATGCACATAATTTGAAAGTTGGCTACTTTCAAAATACATACAAATCAGGAATACCTTTGCAAAGTTACAGCTAACAATTCGTATTCTCACTCCATCCCCAGCACACACATACACCCCTTTGCACTGGCAGGATTTACAAATGCTATTCTAAATGTACATGGTCTTTTTTCTACTGTTACACTGATTACACTGGTACATTTTAAAAAACAATTATGTGAAGGTTTTGATTTTTAATATGAATGTTCAAGTGTGGATTTCATATATCATCAATGGGAGTTCCTACATGCACAACATAGCATGTGGGTCATCTTTCCTCCTGCTGAAATAATTACCAAATTTTCATGTTGAATACTACTGAACTCACCACAATGATAATGAAGTGTAGGAGCAGGGACAGAATGAACTTCTCCATTGTTATTCATTGAGAGCCATCAATCTCCCTGTGTATTAGAGCATATGAAAGCTGTAAAAACAACAAAACAGGAGGGAATAATTTGATCCTTCCGAACGATTTGAGGATTACAATGTAAACGATTAATTTTATTTTGATAGGTATGTCACATGTTCCAAGTTGAAGAAAGAATAGAACATAATAATAATTCTGATGATAGTATCTAAAATATATATTTTCTTCTTGCTCATATGATATAGTTTTATTTAAATAAAGATAACAGTGTTCAAACTTAGAATTCAGTATATCACACTAACCACAGTAAATGTGTATGAGATTTTCATACCTAAACAGACTGCTGTCATTAAACACAATGGCAGTTGCTTCTGTCCATCTGACCAGACAAATCAATCCAAAACACTTTATAAAATTGTATTGCCCATGAGTTTATATATGTACTGAACTATTCAAAAATTCTGTTAGCTTACCTCAACAAGTGTTGTCAAAGTTAAGAAAATGCAGGTTTGAGCTCCAAGTTTTCCTAAGCATCTGTTTAAAGTGTGAATGACATTGTTCCAAATATTTCCTGAGGAAAATAATACTTCCCTAAATTAATCCAGATGTCATGTTGACTCTAAAAATTAATGCACAAATAGTAACAGAAAGCAGATAAAGAAAAGTGTTATGCTAAAGCACAGTAAAATTTAGCAAAAAGAAAAATGAAATATATAAGCAAAAGCAAGCTGAAGCATGGTGTATAGGTGCTGTATTCAATGGGACTTATTTCTATTAAGGGCCAAATTACATCACACAAAGGTGTATATGATATAGCCTGCTGCCCTTGTTCTCTACAAGATGTACTGGAATGTATAATTGAGCAGAAAAATGAATGTGATGCGGGGAGGCAGTGCTTAACTCTTTCTGCCTGGTATTTCGACATTCTCAATAATTCCCTCATGAGGTGGCTTATTAAAGAGGGAAACGAAAAAAGAGATACTGGGCTAATGTATATGTAATGTGTAGTTTGGCCCTAAAGTTACAATCTTTTATACACTTACATTGGAATAAGCCCTGTTGAACTCATTCGCCAAAGCATGCCTAAACATGAATGTGTGGGCATCCTGATACAGTAAAGACCATAACAATTTTGCTTCCCCCATCCCACAATTGCCCTGCTGTTGTGCGACCCAGAGCAAAGCCATGTTGACTTGGCATTATGCCAAAACCCAGGCGCATGGTTTGTCTCACCCCGTGCAGACCATGAGCTGTAGCTAAGGTTTGTTCTTGGCTTCTCTTCTGAGGTTTGTGAGACAAACCAACAGCCCACATTTGGACATGCTGTATTGCTTAGCCAAACTATGACTTAGTTCCTGAGCAGCAGCAAAAGGACCGAGGAGTGAAATAACTTATTTTTACTGTGAATACCTACACACTCACTCTTTCATGCTTGGCCATGGTTTGGCTTAGTTTTATGTTCGAACTGGGCCAGTGGGGACTTACTTGCTTCTGAATGCATAAGGTTGCAATGCATAAGATTTTGTTGTGAATGTGCTTAGAATCACAGCCTTAGTCCATCCTAAATATATGAACATTTCAGTGATCAATAGATTCACACACAAGAATGTTTTGTTTTTGTTTTTAGAATTGGGGCCTTAATAAATAACCATAAGAAGACCAATTTTGACCTGGTGTGATTCTGTTAACTTCATTGGCTTTATTTGCAGAATAATTAGATTTGCCTTTCTGAGCTTCAGCTCCCTTCTTTACCACAAAATTGTTTTAATATTGTTCAAATTGACTGCAACATCAAAAATTGCTATGAATATTTAAATTGTTTCCTAGGTTTTCATAAAATTTCCAGTAATTCAAACAGATATGGAATACTTCCACAAACAAAACCTTTGGCCATTGGGTGTGTTATGAGAAACTAAAACTGGCTACAATTTGAGGGGAAAGTGCTTTAAGGTTGGTTGTATGACAGTAATGGAAAAATATAAGGGACATTTCCACTGATGCTAAAATGGCTTAAGCCATTATATTAGAATACAATGTTAATTGTAATTTCATGATAAACTGAATCCATATTGTTGTTAATAAAACAGGTTAAAATAACTATCATGTATATGCTTTTTTCTTTAACTTAAATAAATGCTAGTGGAACACATCACATAAGTTCGTTATGTCTGAGTCTTCAACCTCTGGTTAGCCATGATGCAGTCAAAGCTAAGGAATCAGCATAGCAGGTATTATATGCCATTTGATTCTCCGTTAATCAGTACTGGGGTGTTCTCCTTGACCTTAGAAGCCTCCTATTACATTGCTTCCTTTTATATTCCTCCTATTCCATGTTCTATACCCTCTCTCCTGACATCATCTCAGTATTGCCTCCTAATTCCCTGAGGTCCTGTGAACTCAATAGACTCCCAAGTCATTCTGTGCTGCTCAGCAACCTCATTGCACTATGCACATTGAATGTGAATATTTTAGTCATCAGATGAGTCTAAAGATCGACACAGGTGCTACGGTTAAACCACCCAATGTATACTCCCACACAGTAACAGATTACCTACCCATATTAGAAATGCTAACATATTACTGTCTTTATGCACCTGTTTCAACTAAACAATATTTCTTACAAATGCACTTTCAACTAAACTCTGTCCTAGTGTTTGTCACCCACAGTAGCAGGCAGTGCTTGATGGGATATGTTTGAACTCTTTGTTTTTCCCACCCCACAATTAGTACTTTCTGAACCCAAGGTCCATTGCAGGCACGAGTGCAAGCATTTGTTTACCTGCCTATGGCCTTTTTTCCATTTCTGAGTTACAAGTTTTACAATCTGCCAGACTTAAACAAAACTGGGATAAAATGTGTGTGCGTACGCGCACACGTGCCCAGTCCCACCTGCCGTAGCCCATCCTCTCCAAGTTCTGGAAACCTGAGGTCTATTATGGGCATGCATGCAGATACTGGTTTACATTTGTGCCTGACCAATTATTAAAAAATATTTTTGAAATACAAGTTTTCCAACATACCAGACTTGCACAAAACAGGTTAATTTAAAAACAAAAATGATTTTTTGCCATTCTCAGCCTCAGCACTGAGAAGTGCCTCACTAACAACAGTAGAGGGTGATAGACAGTGCACCAGCAAAATATTGTCACACATTTTTTTAAAAAGGCCACCAATAAGTGCACTAAGGCACTTATGTCCACAGTTATATGACTTCCTCGCCTTATAATTCCTCATAATAAATTAAATGGGGAGAATTATGGGCTGCCACTTGGGTCCCATCAGTGAAGAGACTAGGGGCCTCCAAACAACTCTCAGCACCCTTAAACTATAGGTCCCAAGATTCTTTGGGGGAAGCCGTGTTTCATGTGGTATGATACAACTTTTAATGTATAGGACAGATGGAGCCTTGGATGAGGATGCCCTATGGACAACGCAAAAGCACGCACACATGGAATGCATGAAATAAACTGCCCCGTGTATACAGCACAATTCCCAGCTAAATAGTGATACAATCATAAACCCCCCAAGAGGAGAGCTTTTCTAGAAACTGAGGCAGCAGAGAAGAAAAGCAAGTTTACATGTCCAATGGTACCTCTGGTTGCACATGCTGTGGGTTATGAGCTCCAGTAACCCGGAAGTAGCCGCTCCCGGTTGCGAACTCTGCCCTGGGATGTGAGTAGAAATCATGCACCCAGAGGCGCGTGTGCAGTGAGAGGTGCACTTTCACTAATGGCTCCTCAAGTTACGAGCGGTTTCCGGTTACGAACGGACCTCCGGAATGGATTCAATTTGTAATCAGAGGTACCACTGTACTGCATGTAACTATGCTTTACTAGATATTTCAGTTAAAAAACTTAATTAGTAGTTAAGACTTACGGTACTTAATAAGGTAATATTGGGGCTGGTGCCATCATGAAGCCAATTAGGCAGGTATCAGAGCACAGAACTCAGAGGGGCACAGTATTGAGTTATCTAAACAGGAATGTTTTTAGCAGGTGCTGAAAAGTACAGCAGAGCCACCTGCTTGATCACAGGTAAACTGGTCCAAAATTGTTAAGGGCTTAATATGCTAACAGTAACACCTTGAATTTGGCCCAGCAGCAAACCGGCAACCACTGCAGATCTCTGAGCACAGGTGTTATATGCTGACTAGGACTCAATCCTGTCAGCAATCATGCTGCAGCATTCTGCATTAACTGCAGCTTCTGCAAGGGAAGCCCCACATACAGTGCATTGCAGTAATGCAGTCTTGAAGTAGCCAATGTATGAACTACTGTGGCAAGCTTTTCCCAGTCCAAAATAGCCACAGCTGTCGTTGGTAAAAGGCACTTCTTGTCACTGAGGCTACCTGAGCATCCAGTAACAGAGCTGGATCCAGAAGCAACCCCAAACTGCAAGCCTGCTCCTTCAGGGAGAGGTGCAACCCCATTCAAGGTTGTAAAAGGTAAAGGTAAAGGACCCCTGACAGTTAAGTCCAGTCGCGAACGACTCTGGGGTTGCGGCGCTCATCTCGCTTTACTGGCCGAGGGAGACGTTTGTCCGCAGACAGATTTTCCGGGTCACGTGGCCAGCATGACTAAGCCGCTTCTGGCGAAACCAGAGCAGCGCACAGAAACGCCATTTACCTTCCTGCTGGAGCAGTACCTTGTTTTCAAACTGCTAGTTTGGCAGGAGCTGGGACTGAACAACAACGGGAGTTCACCCCATCGCAAGGATTCAAACCACAGACCTTCTGATCGGCAAGCTCAAGGCTCAGTGGTTTACACCACAGCGCAACCCGTGTCCCATTCAAGGTTGGCAACAGACCAATTTCTCAGACACAGGAACCACTAACCCACAGTGCCTCTGTCTTGCCAGGAATCAAACTCAGCTTGTTTTTCTTTACCCATGGTGTCCTGGCAGTGTCCCAGGGGCTGCACATCTCTGATTCAGATGTTATATAGAAATAGAACTGAGTGTAATCAGCATAATGATGGCAGCTCACCCCAAAACTCCTAATGATCATTCCCAACAGCTCCATGTATAGCACTGGAGATGTCCCCTGCTGCATCCCAAAATGTAGTTGCTAGAGTGCCAAAAGGCACTCTCCCAATGCTACTTTCTGCACTCGGTCCTGAAGGTAGGATTGGAATCACTGTAATACAGTGTTCCCAATTCCCATTCCCCAGAGCCAGTCCAGGAGGATACCATTGTTGATGGTATCAAATGCCAATGACAGATCAAAAAGTAGAAGTTAGGCTGCCCTCCCCTGTCCCGCTCTCTGCAAATGTCATCCATTAGGGTGACCAAGGTTATGTTGTGTATGTGTGTGTACACACAGAGAGAGAGAGACTTAAAATGCACTGAATTTTCAACCTTACAGTCACACCTTAATCTTATTTAGAAATGTATTCATTTTTCTAGTGAGCTATGGCTGATTAAAAGCAACCATATGGAGGTCAGTACCACAATTGAAAGACAAAAAGCTAAGGAGCAAGCAAAGCAAGAGTGGTTCTTCCTGAAATACCTTTGTACACAGAAAGCAATTGAAGAATAATATAACTGTACTCTTGTTGAAACTAGCAGTGATGGCGGTTGAATGTGGTACTCCAACTACTATAAATAAAAAATTATTATTATTATTATTATTACAAATGATATCATATGCAAAACAGAAGTTTCACAAATGAGATCTTTCTGGATAACACACAGAGGAAAAAGAGGATGTCAAGAAAAGAGAGAGTACTGCAGAATACTGTTGCAGTGATCATTTATAATACAACACGGACCACGGCAAGTTATATCACATGTTTTTCACAAAGACTCAAAAAACCCAGAAGATTTTTTCCCTGTACACTGCAAGAGGAGACTAGCAAATGGTGAAGGAATCTGCCCTCAATGGTTGATATATTCGTCCTCTAATGATGTGGTCTTTTGTTTTTGCTGTAAATTGTTCAGCAAAAAATGGTGCTTCAATTCTACAAGAAACAGGTTCAAAAGACTGGAAGAACATTGGACAGGTACGGGAACAGAGGGGAAGGCGCGCAGCGCTTCTCCTCTGTTCCCGGGGCTTGCGGTGGGAGGAGGGTTTTTCCTCCCCACCGCCAACATTCAGAACAGCATTCTGAATGTTGGCGGTGGGAAGGAAAACCCTTCTCCCACCCCAAGTCTTCAGGACAGCCATCCGAAGGCTGGCGCAGGGAGAAGGTCTCTCCGCCCCGCCGCCAGGCTTCGGAGCATCCTTCAGAGGCTGCTGCCATAGTCACGCGTCACTTCTCCAGCTGGGAGAGGGTCGCGGGGCCATAGGCGCCGACTCCATGGGGCTTGAGGGGGCCCGAGCCCCCTCAAAAATTCGTTTGGGGGGGCTCCGCCCCCCAATAATCTCCGGCGCCCCTCCAGCAGAGCGCCATCGCCGCCCCTCCCCCAGCCCAAAATGCACAGGGAGGGGCGGGCTGCATGCCTCCTGCCCTCCCTCCCGAGCAAAAGCTGCACCCAATTTCCTTTGGAGCTGATTAATAGGTGCAGCACGCTCTCCCCTATTCGCTCACGAGGAGGCGGCGCCACTTTATTTGCATATTCATGAGCTTATTTATTATTCATGAGCTTTCCCGGGCCACCCCAATATTTTTTATAAGTCCGCGTCCCTGCGCGGGGCTATGGCTTCTTTAGCCCCGCGCGCGCTCTCCCGGCTGGAGAGGTGACGCGCGCCTATGGAGGCTCCTGCCATAGGCGCGCGTCACCTGGGAGAGGGTCGCGGGGGGCTGCTTTAGCCCCGCGCGCGCTCTCCCGGCTGGAGAGGTGACGTGCGCCTATAGAGTCCTAGGCAAACTCATATGTCTTTTTTGTTCCCTGCAAGGCACTCTTTAAACTTGGTAGTCAATGACTGATTGATTGATTTCATAAAATTTATACACAGCTTGATTGTATTTTTTAAAAAAAACCTCAAAGCAGTAAACAAACAAAAAAAGACAATAAAGAAAAAAATCACAATCATACCTTAAAACATACAAAAGTTAAGATTAAAATTACTGCTCGCTGTTGTCTGGAAGCAACTATTTTCTTCAGTTTGGTTCAACAGATCTATAATTATTTCGCTGCATCAACTCAGAACCGGCAAATTCTAGCTGGCCATGTATCAGACTCGGGCATGACTGCTAAACCATTGAGGGAAACAAGGTGGGAGAGTCGGGCTGATGCTTTGAAACAAATGAAATATCATCTTGGTAATATATACAGTGGTACCTCGGGTTAGGAACTTAATTTGTTCTGGAGGTCTGTTCTTAACCTGAGGTACCACTTTAGCTAATGGGGCCTCCTGCTGCCACCGCTGCACAATTTCTGTTCTCATCCTGAAGCAAAGTTCTTAACCCGAGGTACTATTTCTGGGTTAGCGGAGTCTGTAACCTGAAGCGTTTGTAACCCAAGGTACCACTGTATAACGCTTTGAGAGAGATCCTTGATGACACAAACCTGAAAGGTTTATCTGGCAATACTTTAGAATTGCAGCTAAGGCCCTTGCTGTTGCAATTTGAAAGTTACATGATACAACACCCTTTTTGAAGTCAATATTACAGGCAAGCTACTACACAATAAGTAAGCCAATTTAAATTCATCTACAAGCCAATTGCAAATGACCAATAATTACCCTGTGGGCTGCAGGTGTAATGCCAGTGAGATTGCAAAAGAGCTAGAAATACTGCCAGACTTTGAGACAAAACAAGTTAGAAAAAGAATAAAGAAAGACCAACTGGAGTATGAGGCCCAGAGACACCACAAGATCAAAAGCAGAAATTCAAAGTAGGTTTCTACTATGCTGTCTTAAACATGGCCATACAATCTGTTGAAGAAGAGGCCCCAACAGCTGAGACAATTTAATTCTCTAGTTGGCTTCCCATATGATATATATACAGTCTGAAGGTGTACTTAAGGCCTACAATAATTTAGAAAAACCATTGATGCACAAATGGACACAAATATATTGATGCTGAAGATCTGTGCTGTGAACTTACAGGAATAACTTGAAGACTTCCAAAGTCTATGCTGCCATAAGGATTACTTCTCTTCATAGTACAACAAAAACTCATCTTCTCACACTGCCAGTGTCAGTAGCAAATGGTGAATGCGGTTTCTTAAAGATCAACCTTATAAAAACTTGCATGTGCTGAACAGTGTTGCAAAGGGGGCTTGGCAACTACACCAACTGAACATCTTCAAGCACTTGAGCTAAAGGAATTGGTGGCAGATTTTGCAAAGGAAATGTGAGGTGTTGATGTGCCTGAAATTGAAACTTTTACCAGACTTAACTTTTAACATCACAGTTCACAAGATTATTCACAATGATTTGTGTGCTAAAGCATTTTCTTTTGCATTTGAAAAAATAAAGATTGTTGCATTACTTATCCTTGCAAATTTAAAATAAATTTAGCAGTTTCACGTTTTTCATTCCCCCCCTCTCCGCCCCCCCCCAAGACATCTCTTTTTGAAAATTGGAATTAGCAATGGGCTGGGGTGGGGCAAGTAGCTAGCCTTCCCTGGAGAGCAAAATAGCCTGACACCAGGATTAGGTAATACTTAAGACTTATGAAGCACACCTACTCGAGATTTACTTTCCACTCAACATGATCCCGTTGGCGGGATTTCTGACCAGCACCCACGCAGCACCACAGTATTTACCCTGTGGAGAAATAAATTACCTCAGCACGACGAAAAAGCCGGACCACTCTCTCTTCGAGGCACTTAAGAAGAGGTTTCTCCAACAATTCCCCTCCTCCTGGACCATTTGGCAAGCTGAGGGGAACTGTCCTCCCAGCGACATTTTGGAGGGAACCGGGCTCTGCAACCTATTAACAAGCCTCCGCCTTAAGCGACGCCCCTCCCTTTCGCACACGAGCCACGAGGGCGCCTGCCCGCGCCGCCAATCACACGCGAGGAACTTAGAAGCGCTCCAGCCAATCCCAGCGGCCGCCTGAATCCGGCGGTTTATTGGGGCACGCGGAGAGGCGGGGCGAGGCGACGGTTTGGTGGCGCGAGGGCGGCGTTGACAACCGCTGCTCGGGTGGCTCCATCCCTTCCTTTCACGGCAGTACCCGTCCCTGTTGGCTCCCCTCTCCCGCCATGTCCGACTGGGAGGCGGAAAGTGAGGAGGACGAGGCCTGCCAAGCTCCCGCCAAACCCTCTCCGGCCGAGTGGCGCCCGGTGATGGCGAGGGCTAGTGGGAAACGTGGCTCCGCGGGCAAAGACGACGAGGAGGAAAGAGGCGGTGGCGGGAGGAAATGGGGCTCGCGGCCGGCGCCTTCCCGCGAGCCGTGGCAGTCGGGGCCCTTGGAGTACCGGGCCCGAGGCCCCTTCCGAGGGGCGGGCAGGGAGCGTGCCGGGTCGCCGCCGCTGTGCTTCCACCTGGATAATTCCCTCGTGGGCACCCTCATAGGTAGCGGTGGCTGTCTGTGAGGGGGAACTTGGAGTCCTCTATTTTGGGGGGCGGGTGGAGAGAAGTCCCCTCTTCCCCCAAACTTTCTATCTATTTATCTATACAAACACACACACACACGAAAGCGCAAACGGGGAGGGGGCGCCCTTGCCTCCCTGGCAAAGCAGGTTATTGCTGTGAACAACCCAAAGCGTGGCTTCTGACTCCCGTGTCGTTCAGTGTTGGACTTGACTCCCTTGCTGATTGCAGTAGACTGTGTTGAATTTGGACGTCTCCTGTATAGTAAATTGTGTAATACCACATTGTTTATGAGACTCGGTTATATGCCACTTAACAGTGCACACTGTATGTAGAAAAAGTGGCTGGGTAAGCAAATAGGCTCCTCTCCCATAAAATAAATAGCACCCTCTAACCTTGCAGGGCTGTTTTTAAGGTCATCTCAATAGACCTTAAGGTCACAGGAATCCCTGTGGATTCATGAGTGTATGCCTTTTGCTTGCTACATTTGTACAGTGTTTTTCTGCTAGTGCAGAGGTGGAGATATATGTTGTTTGTGCACTATGACAGGGGAAAGGGCCAGGGAGGGAAGATAGATTTATTAGCTAAAAAGACCACAGTCCTAACCCCACTTACCTGGGAGAAAGGCCCCATAAATTCAGTAGGACTTAGTTCTGAGTAGACCCACTGTTGGATTTGCACTGTAAGGCTGCAAATGTATACATACATACCTGGGAATAAGTAATTGAACTCAGTGGATCTTGAGTCTGAGTAGACATGAACAGGATTGCACTGTTAAGGATGCCCAGAAATAACAACTTTATAGTGTTGAAAAGAACTGTCAGGGGTCTTTTACCTTTACTATGGTGTACTTAGTTTCTCTTTAAAAGAGAAAGAGAGCTGACTTTATAGTCATTAGCACTTTTGCAACATAAGTGATGTCAAATCTGAATGAACTGTCACTTGAGATAGAGAAATGGAAGGAAACTCAAGCCTGCAATTCCCTGTGCAAAATGGTGTAGCCCTAATATTTTCCTTTTCGTGAATTGGGTGGCCAATAAAAAGAAAAAACAGCAGAATTCTGTTCATTGTGGGCATGGAACAGTAAGCCTAGGAAATGCATATGTATCAAAGCCCAAAAGACGATTGACAGAGGGAGGCGGTCAAAGGTACAGAGAGAGTTTAAGGGACCTCCAGATTCTTAAGACTATCTGTTTTAGCCCCATGCAAAAATCCCTTTCTGTAATTGAGTTGCACCCAAATCTCTAATACTATATGATCATGTTTACAAACTTTGGTGTTCTTTAAATGGTTTAGTTTAGCTTTATACATAGGGAAAAGCGTGTTCACTGAAATATGTGAAAGTTATCACTATTATACTAGTGTTCTTATGTCATAAGTTCATTGTGTCATTTTGCAACAAAATATTAGTTAACATAGGGATAGGAATTGTTCATCTGGGGAAAACCTAAGAATTGCTCAGCTTCACTTCTGAGTGTTTTTATTTAAAAATTTGCACCCTCTTTAGATGCCTCCAGACTCTTGCCCTTGGTTCCTTTACTTGTGATAGAAATAATGTTTGCATTTTGCCAGTAGCAGTATGCATTCTATTTTTGAAAACATTTAGCTAAAATTAGAATGTGGCCAAATTTTGCATATGTATTTTAATTTTGCAACAGGTCGAAGTGGAAGTAAAATAAAAGAGCTCCAGGAATCATCAGGTTGTAAAATACAGGTGAGGCACTAATTTTTTTAAAAAAATGTGTTTGTTTAAAAAAAAAACAGTCTTTACTCAAAAGACTGGTTGTTGCATTGCAAAATAACGGATTTTCTTTGCGAAGCGTGGGGTCATGTGTATATTTGTGATCACAAAGCAATTAGCAAAAGAATTGGGGAGAAAATGTCTAGTGTGTAGTACTGTATGTACTTGAGTCAGTTTAGTGGTGCTTAACTGAACTTAAATTGGGGGGGGGATGTTGCTATACTGTTTTTAAACCCCAAGCATTTCCCCCAAACAAGTAAAACCTCAGTACTATTTATGATTGTACATTATGTTAGTGTAACATTTGGTAAGCATCATCAAAAACACATGGATTGTGCCAGCAGATGGGTAAGGAGTGACTTCCAATGAAGAACAAAGGTCCTGTTGAAAACCACTGGGACTATAGGCCAATGATGCAGATTTTCTGGAAAATTTACCAGAGTCCTAAATCTATTATGTTTTTATTTAGTCCACAGTTCTATACCAGCTTCCCTGAGAGCAAGCCCCACTAAACTTAATGAGACTTGCTTCTGAATCAAATTACACAGGCAGCTTGTTAGACATATATTAATAAACATTATTAAAATTGTTAATTTAGCATACTCTATAAATAGCTTAGAAGTTTTTTTCCTACAGCTAAAGATTTTTCAACTGAAATTATTTAGTAAGGAAAAAATTAATAAAGCAAACATAATGTAGATGGCTACATTATTCATATCAGTTCAAAATTATATCCAATATTAGTCATGTTTGGAGTAGACCCACTGAAATTAATGGGCATAGCTAACTTAGATAAATTTCAGTGGGTCTAGTTTGAGTAGAACTTGGATGCAGCTCACAGCTTTTTTTACTAGAGTATTTGAAAATATTTTAGGTGGTGACAAATCGTTAGCACACTCTCACCTTATATTGTTTGGATTTTAAAGAAAGGGCTGAATATGAGTTATAAAATATTTCCTGGGTATATACCCTTTTTCATATCTTATGCACACTCCAGTTAATACATTGAATGAGAGCATGGTCATATCTTCTGGCCCTGTCTTCTGTTTGAAGAAGTGAGTAGATTCTTCATGGATCCAGGTGTGTGTGGGTGTGTGCACATGATTGTAATTAGAAATTCTGGTTGTGCCAGGGTTCCTAATCACATACTACCTATCCACATATAGATTGCTCACACATAACACTAAACTGTGGTTTAGTGCTATATGCACAAGCTGGAGTGAGCCCCAACTTGCTTCATTTCCTGTGTGGCCAGAACTGGACTTTGGCATCGTTTAGTTTTGCTTTCTCCTAATCTTGGATTGTTATTGCAGCTTCAGATTAAGTGATAGTTTCTGTAGGTTGGTTGTTAAACTAAACCAGACATGGTTATAAACTGCAATCTCTGGTTCACAAGCAAAGATGATCTGAGAAGAAACTGAAACTTAATGCCACCAAAGTCATCCCAGTCATGCGGTAGGGTTTGTGTATTCATTCATATGACACTATAATTTAGTATTATATGTAAACTGGCCGCAGAGTGTTCTCACTTTTTGCTGACTGCACAGAGGTTAGTGCCAGCTGGTGCACAAAGGGTGGGAGCAGTAATGACAATCCTGCTGTCCCCACACCTTGATAGAATGTATGGACGAAATATGAGAAGACTGCTTTAATTTTCTGATAAAAGTTAATGTAACTTTGAAACTGCCTAAGGTACTAGACTCCTATCTGTTATGTTACTTTTTCTCATTGTAATGAAGCAAGGCATATTTAGAAATGGAAAACTTTCAACCTGATATATTGCTTCTGACTGCAAGATATCCAAGTGGTTTAGGAAATCTTACTTGTACTTATCAAATAACTTTTTAGTGCCCAGAAAGACAATTTTAGAGCAATCTAATATCTGATTCTTCTACTAAGTAAAAAAACCTTACATTTAGGTTGTAAAGGGCAATTATGAAGCTGAAATAAAGATATTTGGTGGTAATGATAAGCAAACAAAAGCCAAAATGATGATTGATGATCTTATTGAGAGGTGCAGCCAAAGCAACGCAGGAGAAAGGTATGTTAAAGGTAAGAATTTAAAACTTGATATGTGTTTTATATTTAAGCTTTCTCTTCAGACTGATCTGCTTGTATAAAACCCAGATTAGAGTTATGCACTCTGTTGAAGAGACATTTATAAACTGAAAGCTAGTAGGGAGTGTAGGAATATCCAGAGGAGTTCATAAAGCTGCCCTTGTGATGCATCCAAAAATAAAACATGGTATATTAGTTCACATAGTTTGTCTTTAGATTGCAGTGAAATGAAACAGTTCTGTGGTTCATAATTAAACTTTTTATCTGAATTCCCAAGAACTAATTTAAGGTGCATAATCTGATATAAAATGTATAACCAAATCAGAACCTAATTTTGTTTTAACAGATTGCTTTAAACACCAAGATTTTGGAACCACTCGTTATGAAGAAAGTCATTCCGGTGCTTTGAAGTCGGGATACAGTAATCCAAAGCAATCCATTAACTGGGCCTCCCTTCGAGAAAATAAAGCTAAATATGAAGCTATGAAGTGGGCTGGTTAGTGTAACATATTTTTTTAAAGGAATTGTAGGTGGTCATCCTTCAATATAAAAATGCTTTATGAGATGTGAAAATCATCTACTTTGATATGTAAAAAGTTCTAAGAAATTCTGAGAACATTTGATCATCTATTGATTTTGTTATATTTATTAAAAACTGCCTGGTATGTGGTCACGGTTGAACGCAAAAATCAGATAAGATCTGGTGTAAAGGCCATAGTGTTAGTGCAGTATTTTAAGTGTCATATCACACTGAGGTAGCACCTTGGTATAAAAAAAGGCTTTCAATTAGATATAAAAGGTTGTGCTAACACAATATACTATATTGACCACACTAATTTAATGCACTAATTTAATGCCACTACAAAACATGGGTGCCAGGGTCCATAGGCATACTTACCCACAGAGTTAGGCGTATAATACATGGACAAGTCTACAGCACTATAGGGCATACCAGTCGTTCACACTAATGTGATTGGTCACTCAGGCAGACCCTGGACAGATGTACTGTTCTCATGTTATAAGAATCACTGCAGAGGAATCTGTGAGTCAGAAGTAACAGTGAAACCAGGGTACTGAATTCAAAATATCTTGCTGTGCCTGTAGAGATTTTAAAATTAATCCTTGAATACAAAGCTGGGAAGAAGTAGTATCTTGATATACAAGACTGCCCATTACCCACATCTCAGTTTACAGATCAGTACTGACTGTGGTACAAAGTTTAAAAAGAAAGCTCAAAAATTGTTTTTGTGGTTGGGTGTTTTTCTTTTCTTTTTTAATCTAGTGAAACTTTGTGAATATGGAAAAATGAATTTCCATACTCATGCTGTGGTTTCTAGTAAACGAAAAGTGTTCAAGGGCTTATTGATAGCCCTTCTTTGGGTGATAAATATATTTGGTGTAGTTTCTTATCGGCATTTCTTTGCAAGCCATGTTGAATTGTGTGTCTGCTCAATAGAACTACCTGTAAAAATGAGGAATAGGCTGGCATGGGAATAGAGTTCAGGGTTGTTGTTTTTAATGAAGATGGTGTTCTTTTCTATTCTTAGTAGTTTGAGAAGTTACTTTTTAAAATAACCCATTTTCCCTTTAATTTTATTAGATTTGCCTCCAATTGAAAAATGTTTTTACAAAGAATCTCTAAAGGTTGCTTCAATGTCACAAGAAGAAGCTGATAGGTGGAGGTAAGAATTTAAATTGGAAAGTTGTATGGCCTATTGGAAAGTTGGGTTGATTTTTAAATGGATTATAGTTTTAAGAAGATGAAGGCAATGTCTGCAAAGTAGTAGGTAATACTGAGTTTAGATGCACACCATAAGACTAGGCTGTGTGCATATTTCACACAGAATAGGTCTTACGTGCCATTTTTATTTGGGGGTAGGATTGAAGCGCATAAGCTCATTGTATAGCTTGTAAGGTTTGAAAGCTGATGCCATCAGCCATGGAACATTTCCAGAGGTATGCACTTTAAAACGTCTTACGTGAATGAAACATATACATTTGAAAATGCATCTATAATCAGAGAGCATGGGTGGATTGCAGCTCTTGGACAAGTGCACATTCACTACAAACCATGGCTTTCTATTATGTAATAGTTTGAAAGAACCTTAATTATTCTTTAATCATGTTTATGATTTGCACTAAATCATAAAATTCCTTACATGCAGTGGGACTTAGTTGTCATCATAGCTTCTGTTGGCAAAGGTCACGTTTTGTTTTTAATAGCAGCCTCTACCACTGGCTTTGATTATGTTTAGTGCATAATAATGTTAAGCAACTTTTATCTAGTTGTTGGCATAAGCTAATTATGGAAATGATAACAAAGTGGAAACTACATGATTTTTTGCTCTAGATATTTAGTACTTTGTCTGGAATTGAGAAATAAACCATTTTGTCTGCTATCAGTATAATATTATCTCTTTATGTTGTCTTTTAAAGAAAAGAAAATAATAATATCACATGTGATGACCTGAAAGATAATGAAAAGCGTCACATTCCCAATCCTATTTGTATATTTGAAGATGCTTTTATGCATTATCCTGACATTATGGCAAATATAAAGAAAGTTGGCTTTCAGAAGCCTACTCCAATTCAGGTATTTTAGTTTTCTTTATTTCTGAATAGTGTAGAAACTGTGCTGTTTAAATAGGCCCTATGTAATAATATACTGTTTATTTTAGTCACAGGCTTGGCCAATAATACTTCAAGGATTTGATCTCATTGGAATAGCGCAGACTGGTACTGGAAAGACTTTGGCTTATCTAATGCCTGGGTTCATTCACTTGGATTTGCAGCCAATGTAAGAAGTAACTGGAATAAGATTTGATTTATTCTGTGCCTGGTGGGTTGTTTTTGTTAATCAAGTTAATAAGATTTAACACAATCTTGGTCACAAGAGCTGTGTGTGAAACTACTGTCATGCTTTTTGTCATCCAGCCCTGTTGTACTGTCAGTTGCCATTCTTTTCTCTTGCATACATACAGTAGTCCATAAACTGGAAAGAGATTCAGCAATGTATTCTTTTTAATGGTTATAGAGTTTGCAACAGTTAAGGTTGTTATTTTTTTAAATCAATGCTATCATAAACAATATAAACATTGTTGTGCTCTACACAGGAAGACATCCCACCCCTGCTTTACCTCTTAATTCTCAAAGCAGGCTTCTGTCAACATTGGGAGGCAGACTGCAGCTCTGTGATTTCCTTTAGAGATGTAACATTTCAGATGGGATTTAAAAAGCAAACTCTCCAACCTCATAATCCCAGCTATGAATTACTATCTATATTTACATGATAGCCACCATGATGCTATGGCTATGGAGTCCCAGTGATGTGTACATTTCTCTTGCTCAGGGATGCCAAGTTAGCAGGTGCTAACCAGTCTAGGTTATTTTATACCTCCCTAAGTTACAGCTTAAGGGACGCGGGTGGCGCTGTGGGTTAAACCACAGAGCCTAGGACTTGCCAATCAGAAGGTCGAGGGTTCGAATGCCCATGACGGGGTGAGCTCCCGTTGCTCGGTCCCAGCTCCTGCCAATCTAGCAGTTCGAAAGCACATCAAAGTGCAAGTAGATAAATAGGTACCGCTCCAGCGGGAAGGTAAACGGTGTTTCTGTGTGCTGCTCTGGTTTGCCAGAAGCAGCTTAGTCATGCTGGCCACATGACCTGGAAGCTGTACGCTCCCTTGGTCAATAAAGCGAGATGAGCGCCACAACCCCAGAGTTGGTTACAACTGGACCTAATGGTCAGGGGTCCCTTTGCCTTTTAAGTTACAGCTTAACCCAGCAGCCCTGCCTTTTCTCTTTATTCTTTCCCAAGCATCTGGCATCGTGATGCACAAACATCCATTCTTCCTACTCCCATGAAACCAAGTTACTTGGTTTGCATTGCCATAGTATGTAGGCTGCTAATGCCATAAAGTGCTTTTGTAAGTGATGTGTGCTTTTGAACTTACTTCCAGGTAATTATACTTTGAAATGTGGCCTTAATTCATTCTAACCAAAGTTAAATGATACTTGGATGCAAGCCAAACAGCATAGTTAGCCTGTCTGCTAGGTTTTCCTCTGTTCTCTTCTTAAAATATTGCCTTTTGTATTTTTTATGTATAACTGCTATCTAAACAAGGTTGGATTTTCTTACAGACCTAGAGAAAAACGTGGTGGACCAGGTATGTTGGTTCTCACTCCCACTCGAGAACTGGCTCTTCAAGTTGAGGCAGAGTGCTCAAAATATTCCTATAAAGGAATTAAAAGGTAATATTTACATCATCTTCATTACTTTGGCAGTGGTACTGCAATGTGTCACAATATCTCTGAAAGACGCCACTGTGAAACACTTCAAGTAGTATTTTTATGTTTATAGTCTTTTGATGGATTTATTAGTATTTAACATCTACAAATTCCCGATAGTATGCCAAATACTGTATGGACTGCAGTACAGATTATAATTTCTATCTAGAAATTTTACAGTCTGCAACTGCCACCTTCTAGCTTTCTTATGATCATGTTTAAAACTTTTCATTCCTACATCTGACTAAAATAAGCAATCCTAAGTCCCTCCAGATGTTTAGGAGAAACATCAACATTCTAGTTCAATGACGACATATATTTAAACAACTTTCTCAGCATTTCTAAAGAGTTGTTCAAATTCTATTCCTGCTACTAAAACAGGACAATCCCACAGTAATCAAGAGGACAGCTGCCACTTACCAAGAGGGTCAAAAGGCCTGGTGCATGTGCAGCAGTGGAGCCAATCCAGTACTCCTGCTGCTTCACCCATCTGCACTGGGTTCCCTGCACCTTTCCCTCTCAGTAAGCAGAAGTGACGCTCAGCATCAGAAAGACAGACAGGCAACTCTGCCCTGCCTGCCCTACCCCACAACCTGCTGGTGAGACAGTCAAAACTCTGGCCAGGCCATGGCAAGAAATAATGCTGCAGTGGAGCCACTGCTGCATCTCCAGTCCTGTTCCTCTCCGTGGTTGGGGTGGAAAGTGGGAGGGCAGGCAAATCACTGTGCCAGCCTGGACCTGGTGCAGTAGTGAGGCTCAGTGTTGTGAAATGAGAGCACAGGGGACTAGGTTGGGATCCAGAAGACCAGCCCCTCCCCTGGAACACTCTTCTTCTGTTGTACAAACTTGGCAGATGAGAATCTCCCTGGCAGTACTTTGTCCAGCCTCGCATTCAGCAGGCACATCAGGGAACTCTGCACCAGCGGAATGATGGCATCAGACTGCACAGGGTGTTCCTCTGCCTAAGCCAACTCTGCAGTCCAGCACAAAGCGGATTTGGACTGCAGCCAAATTTACATGAAAAAATAAATCATGCAGGGTATTTAATGTAACCTGTGTTCAATGTAAAAAATTAAAATGGACAGTAGCATGACCATATAGTTTTAATTTAAAACAGCTAAATATTGGATAAATTCTCTCTAGCATTTGCATATATGGTGGCGGAGACCGGAAAGGGCAAATCAGCGTGGTTACCAAAGGTGTGGACATTGTTATAGCTACGCCAGGTAGATTGAATGACCTCCAAATGAACAACTTCATAAATCTGAGGAGCATTACATACCTGGCAAGTAGTCAAAATGTTATATTAAATTGGGAGTAATGTGCAAGTATAACCTGCAAGAAAATATTGCAATAGGGAACTTTCATGTTTTCTTCCAGAATACTCCATTCTGTTCCTGCTAATCACTGTCATCATACCTCCAACAGTTAACATTGCATGGCAAGTGCCCAAGATCATAGAATTGTAGAGTTGAAAGAGGGACTCCAAGGGTCATCTAGTCTAATCTCCTGCAATGCAGGAGTTTCAACTAAAGCACCCATGGGAGATGGCCATCCAACTTTTGCTTAAAAACCAACGAATGAGAGTTCACAACCTCATGAGGGAGACCATTCCACTGGGGATGCAGGTAGTGCTGTGGTCTAAACCACTGAGCCTCTTGTGCTTCCCAATTGGAAGGTCGGTGATTCAAATCTGCGTGACAGGGTGAGCTCCTGTTGCTCTATCTCAGCTTCTGCCAACCTAGCAGTTTGAAAGCATAGCAGTGCAAGTAGATAAATAGGTACAGTTGCAGCAGGAAGGTAAGCAGTGTTTCCATGCACTCTAGCACTCATTATGATGTTCCGTTGTGCCAGAAGCAGTTTAGTCATGTTGGCCACTTGTCCTGGAAAGCTGTCTGCAGAGAAACGCCAGCTCCATCGGTGTGAAAAGCAAGATGAGCGCCACAACCCCATAGTCGCCTTTGACTGGACTTAACTGTCCAGGGGTCCTCTCCCCTTTACCTTTTGCTATGGATATAATGAAGAGGGGTGTTAAAAAAAATAGAAGGACAGGGCTAGTAGTAATGCTAAAGAAAAATTCAGAATGTCTGGTAATATTTTAGTCACAATATGAACAGATGGTATAAAGGTCCTTTTATTTAATACAAATGAATATGTTTTTGAGATCAGGTGATTTTCAATTGGAAGATGTCTTTGAACATCAAGTTTTATTAAGTAATCACATAATTGTTCCTTTAGGTGTCCTTCAACAGGATCTACCACAACCATCCATTTGTGCATGAGCAGAAAGTTATTGCATATATGGGGGGGGGGAGAGGAAGTTGGAAAACGGTTGTGTAAATGGGTGCCCGAGGGCACAGTTTTGGCTCACAGCCTTGGTTACATGGTAAGCATGCAACATTATCTTCTAAAACAAGTATGTCTCCGAAGCACTTCTTTTAGTTCATATATAGCGTTACTATGTCTAATTCTGCATTATTCACAGTGCAACTGGAAACTTCCTTAGGGATACATATTTTCTCTATGTTATCTCTTGTACAACAGCCCCAGAAAGGAGTTAGGTAGATTTTGAGTCAAAATAGAGGTATTTTGTTGGGAAAGCCAAAGGACATAGCAATGAGAGTATACATGTAAAATGAACTTGTACATGCTCTGCAGATAATAGTTTAGAAATTTAGTGGTTTTGGCATGGAGTTTCAGAAAGCCAACAGTTGATAACTATTGTGTTTCACAGGTGTTGGATGAAGCTGATAGAATGCTAGATATGGGTTTTGAGCCTCAAATAATGAAGATTTTATTAGACATACGCCCTGATAGGCAAACGGTTATGACCAGGTATGTGTGCCTTTTTAGTGGTTCATGGCTTCATCTGAAGATGTGTTTTAATGGAAAATATCTGGATGCTACATCCCAAAGTTGTTTTATGCAATTTATTATAATGACCTTGGGGAGAAAGGTAAGTGTGAAATATTGTTTTATTACATTTGCATACCACCTTTTCCTCCATGTAGCTCAAGGTGGTGTACATGTTTCTCCTCCACATTTAATCCTCGCAGCAAGCCTGTGAGGTAGGATAGGTGGAGAGTGTGTGACTGCAAGGTCACCCAGTAAGCTTCATGACTGAGTGGGGATTCAAACCCATGTCATCTTCCAGCACTCTAACCATTACACCACATGGAAACTTTCATCAATCCAGCGGACTGGTAGAATTCAGGCACCCGCAACTAAGGGGAGCCTATAAAACACAGGGTTCTTTCTCCATCTGGACACTCTCCTCTGCCCTAGGAGGAAAGAAGCACTTTGCCAGCCCTGTCTGTGTTCAGCACTTTCCAAAGGGCCAAGTGTAGGACTAGCAACACCACTTATACTGTATAGCAGTTGTCAAGCACCCATCAGTCTCGCATGCAAGGGATTTTGATGGGTGGACAGGATAATTCACCTGTCAGTTGTGTGGAATCATAAAGGTATAATGTGATTGACAGCTGAGTGGCCCAACCCACCTGTCAAATTTGCCCCACAAGGCCACTCCTGATAAGGATCTGGCCCATGAAAGCAAAAAGGTTCCCCATTCTGGAATTAAATCAACACCTTTCTATAGACAAACTTTATTCTTGGGCAACTGAATTCTTTATTTATTTTGTTGTTGTTCATAGTAGCAAACTATTTGCAACTGCCTTGTTCGTATTTAGGATGGAAACATGAGAATGCAGAACAGTAATAGGGTTGAAATACAAAATGACTTTCCTTTTCATTCCTGCCAGTGCTACATGGCCAGATGGTGTCCGTCGTCTTGCAAAATCATATTTGAAAGATCCTATGATTGTGTATGTTGGTACTCTTGATCTAGCAGTGAGTTGTTTTCTGTTTTGGGCTTATTACTCCTGTGTTGTTTTTAATGAGACTGTATAAACTGGACAATGTCTAGTCTTGTGTGTGAACTAGGCTGTATTTATAAAAGATATAGCAACTCAAAATCTAATAATATCCCAGGCTAAAATGAAAATTATAAAATGGAAATCTTAATAATGCAAGAAGTTACAGATTGCAACATTTTTTTCTTTAAAACAATTTTATCACATTCTTCAGCCTAAAAGACTGCCAGAATGGCTTGCAAATGTCCCAGCCCTTATTCTTTGCAGTCTAAAAACATGCTGGAAAAGGGGATGGGAGGAAAGAGGAAAAACACTGTTTTAGTTCATAATTCTTTTAATAAGCAGTTGGAATGGAAAGATTTCAAGGAGAGGAGGAGCCAAAAGTTCCGGTGAGCTGAAAGGCTCTGTGGCCCCATCTCTGTTCTCTCCTGAAGAGAGATTATTTAAGCTTCCTCTTTCTCGTGCACAGAATAAGAGCAGTATTGTCCATTCCTGCCCATTGGGTAGACCTGGGTAAGACTTTGAGACCTTCAGACATCTATGTATGGATACAACATTTCAACAAAGTGTGTATGTCTAAAATCCAATGCTTGTGAGCTGAAACTGGTCAATTTCTCAGTTTTGAGGCAGGAGTCATGGTCAAATCATCCATGTTATTTGGGATTGTGCATGTTGGGTTTTAGGCATATCCATTTATACCCAAAATGCAATGTGCATAATTCCAAATAAGATGGCTAATTTACCATGACCCCTGCAAAATTTACTGATCTGCCTTCCACAAAACACTGGAATTGGAGAGCTCTGGTAGAATCATTGCTCCTGATTACAAGCCAGACCTGTTAGTCACAGTGAAGTGCTTCCTCCACCCTCATAGTGTTTTTTCTATATCTGGATCACTGAGGTTACACAAAATGCTTCAGGGTTCCCTGCTCTGTGTGACTCATGCAACTTTGTAGAGATGCTACTTTACCTTGGGAAGTCCAACATCTCTCCAAGGCTTCACCACGGAATTCAGGATTCTTCCTAGGGGAAAACAGCCTTAGCAAGAGGGTTGTGTGCCCAACTCTCTCCCAGTCATTTAAAGGGAGAGTATTTGAATCGGAGACTAATCAGACCCACAGAAGGCATTGGATCTGGATTCTCTGGTTTGTGGTTTGAAATCTAAAGTAGTGCTCTGATTTTTTAAAAGTGAGTTACTTGATTCTTAGTTGTGGGTGTTAAGAACTGTATAGCAGCATCCAATGATTTAGGTGGGATTTATTTTCAAATAAACATGCCACAACAGCCAGTTCTAGTCAAAGCTCACGTTCAAAGTCTACATGCATAGTACCTGAATAGTCTTCCAACATGAAAATTCTTTGGTTCTATGTTGAGATTCCTGCATTGCAAGGGGTTGGACTACATGACCTACAGGGTCCCTTCCAACTGTACATTTCCATCTCAAACTCTTTCAGTATCCCTAGCGATAACAAAGTATGTACAATTCTTAATTGATACTTTGACAAGGTTCAAATTACATTCAGGTTTCCTTTGATTAAATTTGGTTTTCTAGGCAGTAAATACAGTGGAACAGAAAATTGTTATTATTCCAGAAGAAGAAAAAAGAGCTTTTACACGTTACTTCATTGACACTATGAAGTCCGAAGATAAAGTCATCATTTTTGTGGGAAAGAAGCTTACGTATGTAGAAGAAATCTAACATGAATATTTGGCTTACTGCCTACATTTGTCATTCACTATTAACCATTAAATATGATTTACAGGTGCCTTATTATTGAGTCAGGCCATTGGTCTATCTAGCGGCTAGCCCAATATTACCTTACTGTATTATGTTAGTTGAGCTCTAGGGCCTACGGTAAAGGTCTTCTCCCATCACCTTTTGTCTGTCTGTTGAAACGGAAATACTAGGGATTAAAGTTTGGGCGTTTGCATAAAAAGCATGTGTTCTTCCAGTCAGTTATGGCCTTTCTTCAGCCAAAATGTGGTTTTAAATTTAGATTCTTTAGAATTTTAGATACAACATTTAAGCTACATTTATTTTCAGCTCTTAATATTTGGTGATGTGCTCTAATTAATTCCCTTTTCAAGAAGTAGCAGCAGGGCATTGTTTGACCTCTTGGAGGCTGGTTCCATCTTAAGCCATGTCTGGGGGAGGAAGAACCCACAGACTGACTCAGTTTCTTGAATCAATAAGCAGGGTAATCCCAAGCTCCTCGCTTTCCCCCCACTTATATGATCAAGATACGGTGCTGCACATAGCAGCATTTAACCAAAGTGTATGTTACTTTTGTTTACCAGGATGTGTAAGAGTTACCCATAAGAGAAGTTATGTAAAATGTCATATCGTTTATATGACTCTGCTATATGCCACTTAACAGTGCGCTCTATGTCAAAAAAGTGGTTGGATAAACAAATAGTGTCCTCTCCCAGACCAGAAAACCAGAAGTAGAGCCAAATGTTTTCAAAGCTAAGTGCAGCATGTCAAAACAGCTAAAAAGTATGGGTTTCTTGCAAAAGGTCTTGGCCCCTAAGATGTGCTTGAAGTGACATGAATTTGTCCAGTCACTTCTGGTAGCAAATTCCAGATGCAATGTGAGAAGAAGTACTACTTTTTGTCCCCCAAATCTCCCACTGTTCAGTTTCATTGGATGGCCTGGGGTCTTGTAATATATGAAAAGGGAGAAGAAACTATAGCCATTTCTTCTACACCATACATCATTTTATACACCTCAATCATGTCCTCCTTTAATCGCCTTTATTCTAAACCAAAAAGCTCCAAATTTAGTCTTCCCTAATATACAAGTTGCTCCACCTCCTCAATAATTTACTTCTCTTATATTGCTTCACGCTTCTTGGTTGGATCCAGATTTCAAGTATGACTAAGTTATGACTAACCTTAGGTAAAGGTAAAGGTACCCCTGACCATTAAGTCCAGTCGCGGATGACTCTGAGGTTGCGGCGCTCATCTCGCTATATTGGCCGAGGGAGCCGACGTACAGCTTCCGGGTCATGTGGCCAGCATGACTAAGCCGTTTCTGGCGAACCAGAGCAGCGCACGCAAACGCTGTTTACCTTCCTGCCGAAGCAGTACCTATTTATCTACTTGCACTTGGACGTGCTTTCGAAAGTTCCATTAATTTCAAGGGTTCTACTCTTAACATGGGTTAGTCTGGATCCAACCCATGACTTTTCTTTGTACTGTACTGTAATTCCTTACCTAGTCTAAATAGAGCAGCTTGACTTCTGAGAATTCAAATTCTCCCGATAGCAAAGAAATGTCAGGAAATGCTGGTTCTCATCTATTTTCAAATTTTAAAAAATAGTTTCAGCATATAATCTCAATAGGACACTTTTTCTTCAAACTCTTTTTGATTGACTTATGTTTCATAATGGGGCTAGCAGTACAATTCTTGGGAATAAACACACATAGGATGGTGCTATCAGTCAAAGAAAACTGTTTACAACATGATAACTAGTGATATAAGATGTAAAGGGTGTGTTATGTATTCTGTTATATTTCGTACGCTATTGCTGAAATTTAACATTTGCAACAGAAAGAATTCCATAATTTTTGCATATATTCTATTACAGTGGATTTAATTTAGACACAACATTTTCTTTAGCTGCTGAAATCAGAATTCTACTCCACTTCAGCCATAGAGTTCTTAAGTGACTTTTCAACCCTTCATCTCTGCATTAGTTACATGTCTGTGAAGTGAGAATATTTGCATCTACCTCTTAAGTGCATTTTTGGGAAACCACATCTCTATGCTGGTGATTTCTTTCTCTTTTTTTTTCTATAAGGAAGTCTGGTAAATGCATACAATGTTTACTCGCTGATCATGAATCCTTTAGCAATAGGACATTAACTGAGTTTCCTTGAACATGTGGAAGGAACAGAGTACCTGACATAGGGTGTAGACTACTTATTTTAAGTACATGCAACTGTATCTCCAAATGTATGAACCAAGCAATCCTATGTGTTTTTTTAGTTTTGACCTTTTCTGTTTAGTGCCGATGACCTATCAAGTGATTTTGGTCTTCAGGGAATTCCTGTCCAGTCCTTACATGGCAACAGAGAACAATGTGATCGTGAACAGGCTTTAGACGACTTCAAAAAAGGTAAACTTGTAATTGATTAGAATCAGTTGTAGCATAACACTAAGCAACCAGTCATAACATATATGCGGAAGAAGATGCAATACCACTCAGCAATTATTATTTTTAAAAAACCTAAAGCCTTGCTGGCTGTGTTTACACATTAAGTCTCAGGGCAGGTTACAACAAATACATCACTAAAGCAGCATAAAACTATGGCAAGTTGTTGTGTGACTTACTGCTACATGCAAATGTAGCCATTGAAAAGGTTTACCATTGCTGCAATCCAACCATCCTTCTATAAGGATAGCAGAGAAACAGCCAGTGAAATGTTTTCTGACTTTCTGACTATCTTAAAATATTTTTTTGAAAAACAAGGCTATCTTTATTATTAAGGTGCATTTACTATAAGGTTGTGAATATTGCACTAAACTTTGGGAAATTTGGGATGTTTACATATTGTGTTTTTGTTTTGTATAATATTGTAAACTAATACAAAGAGGAAAAAATGGCATTTCCAAAATAAATGTCCAGCCTTATGTATGTGCAGTGTGAGTTCAAATATAAAATAAAAAGTTGTTGATTTCTCTACCTAGTTAAAAACTCTTGTCAGATCCCAATATGCCTTTTGTGAGGTATCAATATATGTCTCACTGTGCTTGTTCTAGGCAGAGTTCGCATACTGATAGCAACTGACTTGGCCTCCCGTGGACTTGATGTGCATGATATCACTCATGTCTTTAATTTTGACTTCCCTCGCAACATTGAAGAGTATGTTCATAGAGTAGGCCGTACTGGACGTGCAGGGTATGTGGAATATTCTATATATAGTGAATTGGAACTCTGGAATGCGCCATTGTTACTTCTTAGAGGAACACCAGTGTTTTCTCCAGCACATTTTACATAGACAGGCAGCCCCGTTTAGGGGAGCTTTTAATGTTTAACAAACTATTGTATTTTAATATTTTGTTGGAAGCCTCCCAGAGTGGCTGGGGAAACCCAGCCAGATGGGTGGGGTATAAATAATAAGTTGTTGTTGTTGTTGTTGTTTCTCATTTGGGGATATCCAAAAACAATTAGAAACCAGCTATCTTGCTGAGATGCAAGTTGACATTCTACTTCAAAGAAGAAGAAGAAATGAGGTTTAAGCTGCTCACTAGTACTTCAGCCTAGGAGTTGCAACAGGGTATTTCGACTATTATTCCTCAGCACAACTCAATAAAAGAAAACACGAACTGATTTTATTTGAGTTGGCTGATTTGACAGTTTTGTGCTTGCTTTTTTTTTTAGCCGCACAGGGGAAGCTGTAACCCTTGTGACTAGGAATGACTGGCGGAATGCATCTGAATTGATTGACATTTTGGAAAGAGGAAACCAGGTAGTGTTTATCATACCCACACTAGCAATTAGCCCTCTCCCTGACTTTCCCCCCAGACTTGAGGTGTGTCTCAAAAGCTCTTTAATAAGAACATGTTTTTAAGGTATTGAAACTTTATTCTTAATATTTATTTGCTGTTTAAGATTTGTACCAAGTCTTCATGCATATAGCCTCAAGTGGTTTACAATGCAAAAAAAAAAGCACTAGAAAAGTCACTGTTAACAAGCTGGTTTATGGAAACCATTCAAACATAAAAAAACAGGTATGGAAAAACAACTGACTTCAGCTGGAATCAAGAGATAATAAATAATGGTAGTTTAAGTTCTAATAATACAGATTGTGAATTTGAATATATTTATTTCTGGATGTAATGGTAGTATCTTGTAAAAAAAAATTAATGCATACTTAATGTCTGGGTGCATGTCTTTGTATTGTGAATGTGAAAGGAATGGCTCTTATAAGATGACATCCACCACTTTGGTCTCTGGTAATTTAAACTAACTTTCTAAAGCACTTTGCATAGCAAAAGTTTGTGCTTTGTACCTTTCTCATCAGTAAGAGCTTGAATGGGGGAAATGTGATGCATTCCAAGCAATTTGCAGTGATGGGTAGACTTTATGCAAAACAGACATTACCTGCCAACATACCAGAGTTTAATGAAGTGCAAACTAAACGGGAAGCTACTCTAAAAGACCTATTAAGCATTACACTTATAACTATCTTGCTGTAATAATATCCCAGTACAGTGGGATCTTGGTTTACGAACTTAATCTGTTCTGGAAGTCCATTTTTAAACCAAAACCATTCTTAAACCGAGGTGCGCTTTCCCTAATGAGGCCTCCCGCCGCCAGTGCCCTTTCACCATTCAGATTCCATTTTTAGACCGAGGTAAATTCGGTCGGGTGCCACTGTGGTCTATACCACTGAGCCTAGAGCTTGCCGATCGGAAGGTAGGTGGTTCGAATCCCCGCGACGGGGTGAGCTCCCGTTGTTCGGTCCCTGCTCCTGCCAACCTAGCAGTTCGAAAGCACGCCAATAAAGTGCAAGTAGATAAATAGGTACTGCTCCGGTGGGAAGGTAAACGGCGTTTCCGTGTGCTGCTCTGGTTTCGCCAGAAGCGGCTCAGTTATGCTGGCCACATGACCCAGAAAAACTGTCTGTGGACAAATGCTGGCTCCCTCAGCCAGTAAAGCTAGATGAGCGCCACAACCCCAGAGTCGTTCGCAACTGAACTGTCAGGGGTCCTTTACCTTTTTAAAAAAGTTCTCAAATCAGGACACTATTTCCAATTTTGCGGAGTTTGTAAACTAAATCATTCTTTAACCAGACTGTTCTTAAACCAAGGTACCATTGTACTGTGTATTTAACAGTTATCAAAAAACTTACAGAAGGGGGAAATCTAATTTGATACGATACAAAGAAGGAATATTAGCCTTTTTCAGTGTACTTAGATAAAATATTTAATTCATGGAACAATAAATATTGATGTCAGTGGTATGAAAGTATTGTTGCCATGATTTTCTAATTATCAGGTAATTCCCGAAGAACTTATTTCAATGGCTGAAAGATACAAGCAGTTTCAGTTGAAAAAAGAAATGGAGAAAGATACGGGGAGGTCTCGTGGGAGATCTCGAAGAGGTTTTTAATCCATACTTGAACACAGTGAGTGCTGACTGAAATGTTAGCAATAATTTTAAGTAGAATGTAGTATTGCTCAAACTTTATGCACACTTAAAACATAACTTTTTAAAATCTGGTTGTCTTGAAATTGCACCATTTACAGGAATGTGCATTTCCAGATTTGAAAAATATGCTTATTAGAAATTTGAAACAATACTTTTTTATATAGCTGTCATGAGATATATAGCAGTCTTCTGAGCAAAGCCTGCTCTAAATATACATAACAGTAATCATACTGAAGTTGGTTGGTCTAGTCTGGGTCTGGCTAGTGCCTAGGGATTTTAAATCATGCAGCTCTATGGATACTAATAATAATAGGACTTATTTGAAGTAGTTTGAGAATAATGGCCTTAATCTAACATCTAATGGGGTTTTATTGGTTTATGGTACATTGATTACATCTTCTCATCTTCAGGGAGGAAACCTTGTACATAAAGCAGTAATTGTCAACACTGAAGTTTTTGTCTGCTTATGAGTACCAACATCTTGATCAATGGAGTTCAGAAATACTGGAAATTATGCTGACTTGTAATTATTTTCAAATTCTATCTATTCACTGTAATGTATTCTAATGCAGTGCTGTAGTAAAGCTGGTGGATTATTTTGTTAAGTTTCAGTTTTGATACATTTTGGTTGAGAGTAATAACTTAATACTTAAGTTCATTCTTGTTTTGTAGCTTATAGTAGTTTTGTTAGATGGAAGAACTGCACTTCATAGAATAATGTTGATAAAAGTTCTTATTTACAAGGAAAAGTAACAATGAGGCAAACAGATCTTCCCCTCTCCATCTTAAATTTAAAATTAGCCCGATTCTGTGGGTTCTGTGTACTGCATCTTTTTTATTGGTAAGATGTAGTGTATTGACATATTTGAATGCCTAGCGAGTCCCACCTGTAGATTAATAGTGGGTCTATAAATGGCAATGGTAGAATACTGTAATTTTATGAGAACTTTATGCATTAACATTTGGCTTCCAGAATCTTCTCTTTACTTGCACAAAAGACTAGTTTTAAGAGAATAAAGGCTTAGTGTTTTCCTGGATCTATAGTTGTTATGTTTATTCTTGCTAAATAAAAGTTTTTAAAACATGTATCATTTTCATTTTCATATAGCATGTTCCAGAACTTGCCAAACGGTATTAATCTGCCTTGCTATAAGATTGTGAGTCAAACATTGTATCATAATTTGTTTCAATGACTAAAGCACTTCACCTTCATGTGCTGTGTGAGGATTATTCAGTTTCTAGTTTTGTTGCACTTGAATATAATTTTCTAGTATGAACAAGAAATAGAAGCAGAAATTGGGATTAGCCATTTCCTATTTATATATCAAATGGATCCTGGGGAATTCTGTGCAACAAAATATGGTCTACATTTAGCAATACTGTTGTATACCTATGCACACAAAAAAGCTGGTCATTTGCAGGAGGGCAAACACACACACTCCAAAAGTACCCCTAATTAAACATTCTCTTTCTCCCCCATAATTGCATGTAACTTGCTCCCACAGGAAGATATGCACCCAACTGGGGAAATGTCCCATTGTCCTTGCCAAATCACTTCTCTATGCATGTGCACTTTCTCAAATGTTCCTACAATATAAAGGAAACATGCAAATAAAATACGAAGCTTTCCTTTCCAAATGTTTAACAGTGGCAGGGAAGTGATTTGACGCCTGCCTGGAAATGTTTTGAAAGAGCAAGCCATAACTGGCATTGTAAATTGTTGATTTGTACTTGCATCAAAGTACTGAGTGCAAAACACATAATGAAAAGCGGTCTTTATATTGTGGTGTTATAAACTATACACACTATCTCTACTTACTCAAAGAAAGTTGAAAGTGAGGTACTAGATCACAGAACTTTCTTTTTCCTCAGCCCACTTCCTAACTATGCAAGAGCCTATGTATTGCTACTACCAGCAATTGACTTTATCATGAGACTCTGGCCCTTAAAAGCAGTGAGAGAGCATAGCAGTTTTCTTAGAAACCAAGTTCACCACTGGAGCCAGGAATTTATGGCATATGACAATATCTCACTACCAGTGGCTATTGTACCCCCATGAGGTAATGTCATAACTGCTGGCCACTAACTTTAAAACCCACATGTCTCAAGTTTCCTACTCTCCATGGGGTTATGTTCACAGCACCTACTGGGCCTTCTCAAAAGGGTATGTGCATGTGAGCTTGCTTGTGAGAGGACAGCAAACACTGTCCAACCTTTTTCTTGCCTGCCAGCTACCAGCGATAGCCTAAGCTATGCATGGGGTGCAGTAAGTTGTCCCATGCCTATCTCCACTTGGCTCCAGAAAGTAACACTGAGAGAATGGGCTTCAGCCCCATTGTAGTTATGCTGAGAATTCCTCAGGGCAGTTTTATCCCCCATACCATTCAACAGTTATATTAAGCCATTGGGGGAGCAGCCATAAGGGGAATTGGAGCATTATGTCATCAGTATGCTGACACCCAACCCTCTTTCTCCATATCAGTCAGATGTGGCCCTGCAGTAGCTGGACTGGTGTGTGTGCACAATGGTGGGCTGGAAGAAGGCCAACTTGAATCCTGGTAGGACTGAGGCTGTGGGTGAGTGGTTTTCCAGATCAGGGAAATAGGTCAGTTGCCCTCTTCTGAACGTGATTGCACTCCCTCTAAAAGAGCAGGTACATTGCTTCGGAGTACATCTAACTTTGTCACCAGAGGCCAAAGTGACTTCACTAGCTAGGACACCTGTCAATTAAGGATGGTGTGAAAGCTACAATATTTCAGGCAATGTCAACTTCCAGATTGCGGTAACCTAGTACGCTGTATCTGCTGCAATTAGTGCAGAATACTTTAGCAAGGCTGCCGCAGGTGGTGCCCAACTGACAGTTTGAAACACCTGTGCTGAATTGCAATGGCTGCTTAAATACTACCAAGACAGGTTTAAGGTTTTGCTATTGGTATACAAGGCCTTGAACAACCCAGGACCATGATAACCTTGCAAAAGTCTTGGCCCTGTCTGGTCAATTCTTGGAGGAATTCTTTACCTTGCATACTTGTTGCCGGTCACTTGGTCTTACATCCACTAAAACCAGGAGTTTTGGTGTGGCGGCAATGGTTCTCTGGATTGTACTTCCAATGTTTATCAGGTAGATACCTATAGTGCAGGCACGCCCAACAGGTAGATCACTGAACGTCTGTGGTAGATCACATTTTTGCCCTGCACCCCCCAAAAATGGGCTTTCCTCCTCCCTAAAGAAAGCTCAACAACTGACCTGAACCCCCAAAAAGGTAAGGGGGTAGATCACTGCCAGTTTTTAACTCTGTGAGTAGATCACAGTCTTTTGGGAGTTGGCCACCCCTGCTATAGTACTAAGGCACAAGTGTAAAACTCACATCTTCAACAAATAATTACTGGAAGGGTGATCAAACTGTTGATGTATTCATCTGATTTGGTTTTGGTGTATTTGAGTTACTAAGTCTGATTTATGCTTTGGCAAGAAGGTGGTCACTTTGCGGGAGGGGCAACTCACAATTATCAAGTGTTTTCTGCCTTTCAAGCAAGTAGAAGCATAATGATATCCCACTTTGTGATGTCCTTGTAATCCTTTCAGGTGAGTACCCATAGTTTCAATTTCATTCATAATTCTTTGCATGAATTCAAGTACCGTAGCTCTTTATTTTAAAGTTACAGGAAAAATATAGGAAACATATTGTTTTGCTCACTTTCAATTACTTTTGCAAGTGCATTACATTTTGTCTTTTCAACTGTCTGAAGCAAGTTGAACTCAGGTATAAAAAAGTGTTTTAACTCGGCCGCTCTGAGACAACCCACGAAATAATCCAGTAGTCTGTTGAAACATTCGTGAAAATTTGCTGCAAGCCATTCATCATCACGGGACCACTTGGTACATGCATGAAGAAAGGCAGTTTTGGCAAAGTAAGAGTGGAATTTTTCAAACTGATTTCTGTTTTCATGTTTTGTTTTAAGCTGCTCCAGCAAATACTTCAGAAGCTTAAGACAATCTTTCCTGTTGGGAAATAATAAAAAACACTCTGAAATATGTTATTCTGAAACACACATCCTACTAGGAACAATTGATTTAACAGGGATATTTGCTATACACAGACCTGCTTGGGACAGGTTGTGCTATTAGATGGACTGTGTTGGACTTTTAGATAGCATAGCTTAACATTTGCCACAAGTAACTTGGATGTGCTTTCATCTTCAGTTCCATAAATGCTTCTAGAAATTGCCTTCCTCACACCATCAAGTTTTAAATATATACATTTCATTTCTCACCACTGCCATGCCCTCTAGTTAAGTGCTGACGCTGAGCTAGAGGGGATGGCAGTGGTGAGAGATGAAAAAGAAGAAAAGGAGATAGTTATTTTGGCTATGTAAGGATCAACATTCAGAAAATAATTTCCTATTACTATATAGCACTGAATCTTTAAAAGGTAGGATAGGACCCAATAGTAGGCTGCAACATGAGCACTACCATCATGGAAATACATGACAGAAGATGAAGGAATGGGTTAAAAGTGGTTCCTGATTGCGAGGAGATCGGAGAATTTTTAAACTATATCAATCTTCCAGCAATTCCAAGTGAAATAATTAAACATCTTAATGCACCAATTACAGCCATGGAAATTCAACAAGCAATCAAGAATGTGAAACCAGGGAAGTCACTGGGTCCAGATGGACTGTCAGCCTGCCATTATAAGAAGCCGAAAGAAGCCCTATCACGACCTTTACAAGAGGTAATGAACTATATACTAGCCAAAGGAGTAACACCAGAGAAATGGAAGGAAGCATTTGTTACATTAATTCCCAAACGGGACAGACCTAACACTTATTTCAAGCTACAGACCAATCTCATTACTCAACAATGACTGTAAACTTCTTGCACACATCCTGTCAGAGAGATTAAAAAAGACTCTGGGAGAAATAATCCATGAAGACCAGGCAGGCTTTCTCCCTGGACAACAAATGAATAGTAATATAAGAAATATTATTAATATACTGGGGTACCTAGAAATCAGAAATGACAAACCAGCAGCTCTCATGCTAGTAGACACAAAGAAGGCGTTTGAATAATATCTCATGGAGCTTTATGAAAACACAAATTAACCTAATGGGATTTGGAGATATCTTCTGCAGAGGAACAGAGGCAATCTATACGGAGAAGAGAGCAAAACTCATTATAAATAGCAACATCACAGATAGCTGTAACATAAGAAAGGGGACAAGGCAAGGATGCCCCCTGCCCCCATTGCTATTTTAGTACTGGAAATCCTAAACAAGAAGATAAGATAAGGTGAGAAGATAAGAGGTGTAGTAATAGGAGGGAAATCTTACGAACTAAAAGCTTTAACTACAGAGAACCCAAAAGAAAACTTCTTAAGAACATTAGAATTGATAAATGAATTTGGAGAGGTGGCAGGCTTCAAGCAAAAATAAATAAATTACTAGTTAAAAATATGGAGGTTCAGGGGAAAAAGCGAGATTTGTGGCTTGGAAATCAGTAAAAAAGTTAAATATCTGGGTATATGGCTCACAGCAAAGAACATCAATTTATTTCAAGATAATTATGTCAGTACCTAGAAGGAGATAAAAAACAATTTGGAAATTTGGCGTAGGCTAAATATTTCCTTTTAGAGAAGAATTTCTATGATAAAAATGAGTATGCTTCCAAAAATGATCTTTTTGTTTCAAACTATCCGGGTGATAGGAACAGTGAGCTGCTTCAAAGACTGGCAGAAGGATTTACTTGGAATGTCAAAAACCCCAGGATTAAGCACCAATTATTAATCAACATAAAGGAGAGGGGAGGTTTTGCACTACCATATCTGAAACTAACATGAAGTACCGTAGCTTGCCTTTCCTGGATCCGGGAGTGGTTGACACTTCAAACCATGGATTTGCTGGATCTAGAGGGATTTGACAATAGATACAGCTGGCATGCTTATTTGGGTTATGAGAAGGTCAAAGTACATAAAAGCTTCTTAAACCATGTGGTTAGGAAATCTCTATATACAGTGAGGGCCAAATATAAGGCCTTACTAGAACCCAAAATGCCTTGGTGGCTGTCCCCGACAGAGGCATTCTTGGTTAAAAAGAAAAATATGAGAGGTAATTGGGCAACCTATAAAGAATTGCTGGAAGAAAAAGAAAATAAGTTAAAACTCGAAAAAATTTAAGAATCCGAAACCACCTAACAGACTGGATGCAATATTTTCAACTGAATTGACACTTTCCAAAAGGACAAACAATTGGGTGTTTCCACAGATCCTTTGAGACTCCAAAAAGATCTGATCCAAACTAAATACAAACCACTCTCTAAAATGTATAGGTTTCTCCTTGACTGGGAGGTCAAGGAGGAGGAAGTAAAATCAGTAATGGTACAGTGAGCTAGGAATTTTGGTTATAACATCTAAACGGAATCATGGAAGAAGCTATGGAGGGAAGATATAAAATTCACTGTGTGTTATAATCTAAAAGAGAACTGCATGAAAATGCTCAACAGGTGGTATTTAACACTGGCCAAAATGGTTAAATCTAGGTCAAACACATGTTGGAAATGCAGGGAGGCGGAAGGCACAATGATCCACATGTGGTGGAACTGCAAAAAAAAATCAGAGAATTCTGGGAGATAATATACAACAAACTTAAGAAAATGTTTAAATGTTCCCTCCTCAAGAAGCCTTAAGCCTTCGCTAGGAATAAGCAATGAAATCCCAAAGAAATTTAAGAGAATTTTCATGTATGCAGCAACAGCAGCTAGAATTTTAATTGCAAAGGGCTGGAAAAGAGATGCTATCCCATCAAAACTAGATTGGCAGAACAAAATGCGAGAATGTGCAGAACTAAATAGATTATCAGCAAAATTCCGAGATGTCACTGACCAAAAATTTAATAGGATATATATAGAGTCTATCCTAGTTGAAGAATGTAACTTGGGAATCACAATGGGGAGACTGGAGGTCATGATCACAAAATGTCACCTACAATAAGAATAAAGCATGGAATGAATGTTTTATTTCCTTTCTTTCTGTTGATTGCTTTGTGCCGTATTGTTTTTAAAATCAATAAAGCACAATTAAAAAAGGGAAAGGGGAAAAAGTGGATCCTGATTGCAGATACTTGCTATATATAAGTTTAAACCATGGTTTCCTGGCTTAGATGCAACAGAAAAGTGTTATTTCCCAAACTCAAAAGTTTTGCACAGGCACAATGCTCACTCTCTGTACAATAAATCATAGTTTATTAGTCTAACATAATTACCTCAGAGTCAGTGAATGCCAGCTGATTTAAGTGCACATTCTTTAATATAGGCTCTTGTTAGTCACCAACAATAGCTGGGAGATTAACAGAGCAATCCAAACTCCCTTTGTGCTGAAGGAATAGAAATGAGGTGTAGGTGTCTCTCTGCCCATCCTAACAACCTCAATAGCTTCTTGGCAACCTCCACTTGTGGAGTGACACAGTGTCACTCTGTTGGCACCAAGGTCTCCCTTCTGCATATGTGGTTGGAAGTGCTCTGGAGAGGGGCTGCTTTAAATGATGGCTGCTCAAGCGCTCACACAGCTGCTCCTGGCCCCAACGAAGCCCTTCCCCTTCCTCTCAGCTCTAGGCAGGGCAGGGAGAAGCCGGGAGGAGGCACCACCACGTGAGGGGGGGATGGCACAGGCTGAACGGTCAGCGGCAATTCCCGGGCCGTCTGCGGCCAGATCCAGAAGGCAATTGGGCCAGATACGGCCCTGGGGCCGTAGTTTGCCGACCCATGTGTTAGACAGTTGTCACAGGGAGTTTTACCATATTCAATCATTCTTGATTTGAGCCTATGGAGATTCAGAATTTTGGCACTACATCCATTTTATACCTCTAATCCAGGGGTCTGCAACCCGCGGCTCCGGAGCCGCATGTGGCTCTTTTACACCTTTGCCGCGGCTCCGGGGCAGATACTAGCGAGGGGAGGAGGCGCATTGTGCGCCCTGACACTCCCCACTGTGGCGGGCGCTGTACTGGCTGTGACGTCGCATGGGGGCGGTGTGTGCATTAGTCACGCACCGTCCCGACGTCACTTTCCCGCCCGCCCGCCCACTACATTGTAAGGGGCATGTACGCTGGTCACTACATTGAAAGGGGGCATGTACGCTGGTCACTGTTTTGAAGGGGAGTGAAGAACACACACACAAAAAGGTAACTTGTTAATTTAACATTTATTTCTATGAGGAGGAGTAATTCTGAGGGGTCAAACAAAGAAATAATTTAAAAAGTGACAAAAAAGTTATTTTTATAATGACGAGTTTTGCGCCTCCCAGTTTTTTTTTTCTTTGGAAACGGGTCCAAGTGGCTCTTTTTGTTTTAAAGGTTGCAGACCCCTGCTCTAAACGATAGTTTGGCAGTACATTTAGTTGAGAGTTGTAGCCAATAAATCCTTACAATTTCCCAGTTTCTTAAGCATTTTCTAGACTTATATAGTGGCTAAAACTGACAAAACAAATAGGAAAACAGTAGTTAAAGATACTAACCTGCAGCATTTTTGTCCATTTTTTTCACAACAGGTCTTTGAGTTGCCATGATTAGTCATTATAGCCTTCTCAATATGTGAAAAAGAGAGTCGCCAAGTGTTTTCTAAGGTGTTTTTTTTAAAAAAAGAAACAATGTAAAATATTGGAAATCTCTCTTTAAAGAACATGTTGATTGAGCTATTTTTTAACTGTTTATTAGTGACAGATTTTGTGACCCTTTAAGCTACTATATGAACACTGAAACTCATAAGCAAAAACTTTCAGCTGTGGAAATGCACTACTTTTGCCCTTGTGCTGGCTCTGGCCTAAATCCTGCCACTGTGTATAGATATGCTGAGCAAAATCCAAGTCAAGTGGTATCTTAGCCTTGGAAAAAGGAATACAACCCAGTTCTTCACTTTTCTGCTTGTATAGGAAGTTTAGCTACCATGAAGCAGAGAGCTTATCCCACTGTTGTTCAATTGTGCCTTTAGGATTGGTCTGCTGACTCTTGCCCAGCTTTAATATTCTTTTAAAGAAGGAGTCTCTTTTCTTAAGAAATAACAGAACAGGGACCCTGGTACTTCAAAACATTTGTTGTTCTTTACAGCACATAGAAAGAATAACCAATTAATGTAGTCTCTTGAAAATAGTCTACCACCACACAACAGCTAGAATACCTGATACAGTGACATGACTTTGTGCATTATGTATTTAGCCAAAGATAAGCTTTAGTACCTATTAAGCACTTTCCATCTTTGGCAATCTTGGGCACGAGGTAGAGTGGTTCATTTAAAAAGGCATTCTTTACTTTTCTTCCTAGCCATCCAGTAATATCCAGGCCATTCTTTGTACTTTCACACCAGGTCCGGTGCCGAAATTCCAAAGCAAGAATGATATCTACTGATATAACGGAGGGAGGCTTTCCAATGAGAACGGTTACTGCTGGGCATCCAGGCTTCTTTCTCTCTACATGCACTTCCCCATTCAGATCTGTTGACAGCAACAGCAACAATCCAATCCAAACCAATTTCATTGTGTTTCATTAAGATTTCCCCACCTCACAATGATTTGAACAGGAAGTTAAGAATATGTACTTAAAACAATATAGCCAAGTAAGCAGCATCAACTTCAGTTATGGCACTTAATGCCAGCAGCTAACACAGACCTTGGGGGAAAAAATGTGGTAGTGGCACTACAGTTCTGATATTCTTACTCTGCGACAAAAAACTAAATTCCAATTTAAACACTATGTGGTGAACAAGAATACAGTGGTACCCCGCAAGACGAATGCCTCGCAAGACGGAAAACCCGCTAGACGAAAGGGTTTTCCGTTTTTGAGTTGCTTCGCAAGACGATTTTCCCTATGGGCTTGCTTCGCAAGACGAAAACGTCTTGCAAGTCTTGCGATTTCCCCCCCGTTTCCCCCCCCCTTTTTCTAAGCCGCTAAGCCTTTAATAGCCGCTAAACCGCTAATAGCGCTAATCCGCTAAGCCACTAATTGGGTTGCTTCGCAAGACGAAAAAACCGCTAGACGAAGAGAATCGCGGAACGGATTCTTTTCGTCTTGCGAGGCACCACTGTATAACACAATTATTAAGGAAGCTGTAGGCTGGATTCAACTAACAGGCCTGGCTAGTGGAAGCCTGCACAAGGATTTCTGCCAGTGCAACAGGTCTTGTCTGCCGTCTGCTCCCCAAGTACACCCCTCCAAATAGGCTCAGAGGTGGGTGGAAGAACTTCCAGAACAGGGAGGAGAGGGGAGATAGCTCCATTGGGCGAGCTGATAAGCTTGTGCTCCTAGAACATTTGGAAAAGGGTGATGTTGAATTCTTTGCAGTATATTTTGGGTTATCTCTTAAAATACACAATATTTCATGTTTCCTAATAAAAATAATATCCAATTTGTATAGTAAATGTTTACAATACAAAGGAATTTTTATATTGACATTCTTCTAACCAAATATTTCAGTTCAGCTAACTTTTTGTTATGGCAAAAATGGCAGGTGTTCAGCATTTAAAATTAACATGACTAGTTACTTTCTGCTTATCAAACTAATGTTTCTATTAAAATAGATGTTTAACTTTCTGCTTATCAAATTAATCTTCCATTTCAAGCAGCTGAGTTTTCCAATTACATTGCAGAAATCCTACATTATTATTTCTAATTGGACCTATAAATTTCAGTGGGACTAGAGAGCATTCATCTGTTTGCACACAGTATTTGAGGAGGGTTGCTTATCTCTGAAGAGGAAGGAAAAAAAGTAATGTAATGAATACTTACCCTTATTTTTTTTTACTTCTTCTACAATAATGTTCCTCAGTGCTGACAGCATATCAGAAGATGAAAGATGCATTTTGTCATCTAAAAATTTAGCTAGATAGGCCTTTTCTCCAGGGTTCCTTTTCAATTTTACATAGAAGAAAGCACCAGAAGCAGCAATATTGCAGGGTTCTAGTTCAACTCTCATATCTGGTACTTTGAGCATAATATCAAATTCATTTGGGTTAGAAATCTGCAAGACAGACAAAAATATTTCTCACAATTTACTATGTCCCAGAACGTGTTAATAACTTGTGTTCTCATGACTCCAGACTAAAGGTCATCCTTACAGCCCTCTGGAGACAACCACTGAAAAGTGATTCTGTACAGTCATGTCATTTGAAAGACCCTTGCTAGGTGCATAATAGTGATCAAAACCCACACACATTTGCTTACACCCACACAGGCTGGCAGCCTCAATGGCACCCCTCTGGAGGCTTCATCTGGGGCAAAAATGCTTTCCCCCACCCCATAGCTACAATGAGAGGTCTTTCTTTTGCCCCATGCTTTCCCTGGGAAAACCCGCTGTTTACTGCTGAATAGGAACAAACGTCAGTCTTCAGAAAACTGACATTTGTTCTGATTCAGTGGTAAACGGGTTTTCCCGAGAAAAGCGATGGGATAAAGTGCTTTCAAACTCCCCAGCTGCATGGAGGACCGCCACATAGACGTACTTTCCAGAAGCCTCAACATGAGGGCAATAATGCTGACATCATCCCCAAATCTCAGCATCCACGACTACAGTGTTTTTAAGGTTTGGGATCCGGCAGCTTTTGGACCGGTGCAAGGAAAGATGCTCCGAGCAGTCTCCAGCACTGCATCTTCCATTACCTTCAGGTGCTCGTAGTAACTGCCGGTGCCCAGCACTTCGACGCAGGAGAAGCACGCTTCACTCTTTATTGCTTTTACCAGGATGTCCCTGACCGTGTTAACCAGCTGCGCGGCCTTGGAGCGCTCCTCTTTAGCTAGCCTGAGCTTCTCCAGCACCTGCCTCAAGCTGCGGTTGCCCCTCGGGCCAGGCTCCTTGGGAAGCAGCTTCCCTCGGGCGCCGGCCTCCTTCCCCGCCTTCTCCTGCTCTCTCTCTCGGGACGCTCTCCTCCCTGTGGAGGCGCTTTCTTTGCCTGGCTGGCCGACTTCTTCCTCCTCTTTGGGGAGAGGCTTCGCCTTCTGGGAAGCGACCCGCTTGTTGGGGGCAACTACTGCGCTTCCTCGCGGGGCGGGCTCTACTTTTACCAGAGCACACATAGCCGGCTCGGCTTCCTGCGCCTTTTGCGCGCCTTTTTCCTTCCGGGGAGCTTTCTTCCCACTCGGGGCAGCAGCGCCGTTTGCTGCCTCGGCTTTGGGCCGTTCCTCTGCCAAGATGGTGCACATTCCCAGCGCCTGTATCAGGCTTGGGATGCCGTTCGCGCCAGGCTCCTCGGGAGCAAATGTGCTCTTCAGTTTCCTCCGGGCCCCCCCTACGGCTTTCCCCTGATCCGGCGGCTCCTTCTGGGAGCCTTTCTTCCCACTTTGGGCAGCAGCGCCGTTCGCTGCCTGCAGGGGTTCCTCGGCGTCGGCGCGCTCCCCTGCACCGAGCGCGAGCTTTCCCAGCGCCTGCCGCAAGCCAGGCTCCTCGGGAGCAAGTTTGCTCTTAGCTTGGTCCGGCTCCTTCTTCTTCTGGGACGTTTTCCTCCCACTTGAGGCAGCAACTCCTTTCCCCGCCTGCTGCGATGCCCGCCGGTCTCCCTCGTCGCCCCGTCTGCCCTCCCCTCGCCCTTTGGATCCCGCAGTGCCTCCGTCCCCTTTCGCTGCCGGGGCCGCCTCGCCCTTCCTCGCGCCTCTCCCGGCTCCACCGCGCCCCATGGCGCCAGAAAAAGATGTCCTCGCTGCGGAGCTCAGCGTCTCCTGTGTCGGCGCCCCGCGCCCGCCCCGCCACATATGAACCCGCTAGCCACGTGAACGGCCGCATCCTGAAGGAGAAACGAAACTTATCTGCTCTGGGCTGCGGGGAGCGTGTCTGAACCAGCTTGCTCCCTCCCTCCCCGTCTTCCTTATTTTGGGTTGCCCAGTCAAGTCAGGGATGGAGCAAGTCCCCTTTGAGGAAGTACGAGGGCAGTTAGAGAAAAGGCGAGCGAGACGCGGCATGAGAGAAGTTTATACAGTAGAAGTATGCGAGGCATGGAGACAGTGGCTAGAGGAAAGTCCCCGCTGCAGCCTCCCTCATAGCATTAGAGCTGGAAGGCATTCAATGAAGTTGAAGGTGGGGACATTCAAAGCAGGCAAAACAAAGTACATCTCCATGCAAGGCACAGCTAAACTATGGAATTCCTTCCCCCAGGAACCAGTGAAGGCCACCAACCTAAGTAGCTTTAAAAGAGGAATAGGCAACGGGCCCGTCCACATTTTCATTTGCAGTAAACAGCAGGTTTTCTTGGTGAAAGCTGTGGGACAAAAAATAAGCCCCTTGATCCTGTGGCCAGAAATCATGGCACAAAGGAAAGTGTGGATGGGCGCAGCCAGGGTTTTTGTTAGGGGAGGCAGGCTTTTGTTGGAGGGGCAGAACCTCATGTTTGTATTGATCTAGGGGGGATAGCTGCCCCCCTGGGCTATGCCCATGGATGGGCAGAAATTCATGGAATAGCAGGCTACTGATGGCTACTAGCCACTATCAGACTTGATGCTTCTGAATACCAGAGGCTGGAAACAAAAGGATGGGGGAGAGCACAGGAACTTATATATATATATATATATATATATATATATATATATATATATGTGCAGGTTTTGGTGTCCTCGGGTGTCTTCCCGTGTAAAAGTTGGGGTGTCTAGGCGACGTTTCGACGAGGTCTCACTCGTCATCTTCAGGCTGGTGCTTTCGGCTTCTTGTTACTGGAACAGAGCAGGATCTCAGTGTTTGAGTTCCTATAAATACTGTTGAGGAGGTGTGGTGTATAGCCTCCAATGTTCTGGGCAGAGAGGAAGTTCCCAGGCTAGTGTGCCTTTTCTTCTTTTGTTCCTTAATTACTTGAGGGATATCTTGAGTGATTTCTTGAGTGATATCCTGAGTACCACTTAGGTGGGTCATTAGGTGTGGATTAGTTGCTAAAGCCTTCGTGTCTTGACCTCTTGAACTTTGTGAAGAGTTTTTCTGAGAAGATGGCTGTACTGCACTTAGTTGTGCTCTGGCTTGGCTTCGTGTATAGGGGCGAGCTGTGGTTTTGTGGCCTGTGCCAGCCAGATCTGTGTAGGGATTCCTCAGAAACCCCAAGGATAAAATCCAGTTGGAAAACCAAGGGGTCTATGAAATACCCTGCAAAGTCTGCCCAGCCACGTACATTGGACAAACAAACAGACGAATAAATGCACGTATCGCAGAACACAAGAATGCCGTCAAAAAAGAAGAAAAAACTTCCTCTCTTTTCCAACACATGAAAGAAACAGGACACGAAATTAATTTTGCAGATTCCAAATTGCTCTTTAACATGGAACATCACCACAAGAGAATAATCATGGAAGCCATCGAAATAGAGAAACACCCTCACAACATGAACAAGCGTGACGACACATCCCGCCTGCCAGACATCTGGAAATTAGCCCTCCCCACAAAAACCGACACCAGATCCAGAGGCACACAGAACGCCATCACCAATCAACCACACCAGACCCAAACCCAGACCCTCTCCACAGATAAATTACAGACACCATCCAGTAGCCAAACCATGGTGGCACCTCCGGATGCTGCACCCCCCTGCAATCCCTACACAGATCTGGCTGGCACAGGCCACAAAACCACAGCTCGCCCCTATACACGAAGCCAAGCCAGAGCACAACTAAGTGCAGTACAGCCATCTTCTCAGAAAAACTCTTCACAAAGTTCAAGAGGTCAAGACACGAAGGCTTTAGCAACTAATCCACACCTAATGACCCACCTAAGTGGTACTCAGGATATCACTCAAGAAATCACTCAAGATATCCCTCAAGCAATTAAGGAACAAAAGAAGAAAAGGCACACTAGCCTGGGAACTTCCTCTCTGCCCAGAACATTGGAGGCTATACACCACACCTCCTCAACAGTATTTATAGGAACTCAAACACTGAGATCCTGCTCTGTTCCAGTAACAAGAAGCCGAAAGCACCAGCCTGAAGATGACGAGTGAGACCTCGTCGAAACGTCGCCTAGACACCCCAACTTTTACACGGGAAGACACCCGAGGACACCAAAACCTGCATTCCTGTACCCGTGAAAATCTACGAAAGCATATATATATATATATATATATATATATATATATATATATATAATCGGGTGGCACTGTGGGTTAAACCACTTGCCAATCAGAAGGTTCGAATCCCCACAACGGGGTGAGCTACCGTTGCTTGGTCCCTGCTCCTGCCAACCTAGCAGTTCGAAAGCATGTCAAAGTGCAAGTAGATAAATAGGTACCGCTCCGGCGGGAAGGTAAATGGCGTTTACGTGCACTACTCTGGTTCGCCAGAAGCGGCTTAGTCATGCTGGCCACATGACCCGGAAACTGTACGCCGGCTCCCTCAGCCAATAAAGCGAGATGAGCGCCGCAACCCCAGAGTCGGTCACGACTGGACCTAATGGTCAGGGGTCCCCTTTACCTTTACCTTACAGTATTAGCTTAGGTCTACCCATATCTCCCTGACTGGGGAACTGTTCCCCTCAGGATCCAAAATAATCTCTGATCAAAACTGTTTTGCACAATTACAGATAGAGAACTTTGACCTGCAGCCCACAACAAGCTTTGAGATGAGATAATTGAACTGATCTGGCCTAACGCTTGTTGCAGAATATTTAACCAAGATGCTAATAGCCAAAATATGTAGGAAGCAGTGGCAGCTGCTCCCCATTGGAACTGGTGGGGCAGAAAGCCAAGTGTCTTGTGCCCAAAGCAAGCTAAGGCCAGATCTTCTTTTTCTCTATGCATTTTGGCCAGTCTTACTTTTCTAGAAAAAGGTGCTGGAATCCAACATGAACACCTCCCTTGTTCTCTTAGATTGGCAATGGTATCCACCAGAGGTGTGCCGGAACTGAGTTCCAGCAAGTTCTGGCTGGGGGAAACACTCTGAATTTTTGGCTATTGACCTAGGTACATACCCTTGAGGGTGTCTTGCATTCAGAGAGCTGGACCAAATGCAATTCAGGCCCATCTCATAGAGGGCACTTTCCCAGAGGTGTGGGTATTATCATTTGGGGTGACCCAAATTGTACTGTGGGTTGCACACACCCAGTTCCTTTTTCTGTAATTGTCCTCTGGAGATAATGTACATTCATGAATGGCCCACAAAAACAAAAGGTTTTGATTGCTTAAACTGCTGCTCTTGAAGAATCTCCACCCAGATCATGGAGACATATGAGATGAGGCCATTTCGGGTTTAGGGGCATGTGGGGTTCTTTTTAAGATTTCTGACTTAGGTGTGTTTCTAGCTTTTGTGCAAATAAGGATCTGGGAACTAGTAATCAACTTTAGCTTGCTGTGTCAGCAACAGTGAGGTAATCTAGACTCGCAGCAATAGTTCATGCTTGAATTTGCCCACTGTCAAACTTAGATTTCAAAAGAAAAGAAATCAAGTTTATTTTCCCTGACATGGATTCTTCTCCAATGACAGCATGGGGCTGGGTTAAAAATAATTTGGTTTGCACAATTTATCTCATCCTTTTACTCAACAGAAAACCTGCTCATGTAATTTTTTTTTTGTACTAAAAGCAACAACACTGGTATTACCACTCTTACTTGTCTAGTCATGGCATGCAGGTAGCACTTTTCTCATAAATGAATCCGCTTGCTGGGAAACGCTCTGATTACTGAATGTTGAACCAGGTGCGTAAAAGCATTTCTGTACTTTTCAATTTGCTTTGAACAGGAACAATGAACAACTGCAACAAGAAGTTTCCCATTTTTATATTGCTGCATAGAGAAAAATCTGCACATGGGGAATTCCTGTCTATCACACAGGTACTGGATAGGAAAAAAAGATGACAGCACATTTCCTTCCTGTTTCTGATGTATGTGTGCAGGAAACAGAGGACAATGGCGTTGTTTTTTTCTAGTACAGTACAGGAAATAAGGGCACATCACTATTGCATGGATGAGCGACGCAACCCTGTGGTCGGCCACGACTGGACTTAATGGTCAGGGGTCCCTTTACCTTTACCTTTTATGTCTATACATACTTGGTCCTTCACCCATATCTTATCCCTACAAGTTGGAAAGTGGGTAGAGGCAGTTTTTAGTGGATAGGCAGATGGCAGAGAAAGAGCTAAGTAACCCTTTCCCCCTTCCTCTGCACCTAGATTTTAGCCTATCAGGAACTTTTCCTATGATGAAACAGAAACACTTAATGAGACCTAAAGTAGTTTGTTCCATAGTGGGGAAGGAGCATGTGCAGCAGTTTCCCTTGCAGAGATGACCATGATCACACCCACATCATAGATTTAAGTTGCATGGCTTCCTGCAAAAAAATCCCAGGAATTAATTAACAGTGCTGAGAATTGTGGCTCTGTGGAAGGCAAACTACACTTCCCATAATTCTTTGGAGGAAGCCATGTGCTTTAGATGAGAACGTGACCCACACTGACAGTTTTTGCTGGCTACTTGCAGCAGCTCACCCGTTGGATAAAGCTTTCCTACAATTCAATGTTTTGGCGTCTGATTTTACAGGGATGGAATATGCATGCGTTTAAATGCGGTTTCCACTTCTGGCAAAGTTCCTATGACTCGTAGCTGCATGTTGGACTGAGAGTCCCCAATACAGTAATAGCTTTTGCATCGGGGTGTCACGGTGACAGGAGAAAAACTTGCAGCCCCCACACAGCTGCATGTACCCGCCTCCACTGTGGCACACCATCAAGGAGCATCCAAAGATGCCGACAGCTGCATCAGTTCAAAGAGCAACAGAAAGCGCTGCAATCCTGAAAAGAAAAGAAAAGTTGCTGTGTTCTTGCCCC